GATTTCATAGAGATGTAACTCTCCTTGTAGTAAAGCTTACATCAGCACTTTAAGGGGGAATTCCAGGGTGAAGCATTTCGCATAAAACTACAATGACTGCTTACATTTTAACAATTCAACTATGCAGAAATTTTAAAAATTGGTAGAATTCCTCTTTAATCTCATAGTCAATGTTTCATTTCACCCCAAGGTGCTGGAACACCAACCCAGAATTGCACAAATGGCCCTTGTCCAGTCTATACATGCATGTTCTTCGTCAATCAAGAATAAAAAAATTGAAGGTTTAACCTTCCCACAGGCTGGCTGTGAAGCTCCTTGGGCTGTATTACTGTCATCCCTGATTGGTCATCTGCTGTGCATCAGAATTGCTTACATTGCTTGTAATGAAACGCTATGGATCGTGATGTCGTTTTTGACATGACCCATTATTTGTTTTGTGTGCTTTTTTTCCAGAGACATTCAATTTTGGGAGCTCTCATTTAAAAGTGGGTCCTTTTTATACAGACAAGTAAGTACTGCCAAGTTCCTTTTGTGAACTAAACTGATGTTCATTTTGCTGTGTATGTTGTGCGCCCCCTTGTGTTTAACATGACTCATTGCAATAGGTTGATAATCAAAGTCAGTCTCTTCACTGTTGTGTGTCGGTTGCATATACACATAGTAAACAATTGAAAGTAGGTAGGCTGCAGCTCATGATATATAGTCTACACTGATACTAAATGCAAATCAAGTCCAGAAACTGCATTGCAACACTTTCTCAGTTTCAGCCCAGATACACAGAGGAAAGTTCACTCCAGAGAAACTGATACGATTGTATTGGCTTTAGGTGCGGAGGATGACCGGGGCATTGGTTGCTGTTGGCCAGGGTAAACTTTCAGTCAGGCAGATTCAGGAGCTGCTGGATGCTCGTGACTCTCTGGCCTATCCACAGAACATGGCGGCACCGTCCCGCGGCCTCTTTCTGACCAAAGTGGAGTATAAAGATTCAGGTAATACCCAGCACTGTTTTCTCTTTATTCTTTTCAGTTTCCAATAAATATCAGTGTTTGAAATAAAGGAACTGTGATTCTAGTACTACTTAACTACTCGTTGTTAACATTGGACCACAGATTGCTGTTTTCCCATGATTTACTTTACAATGCTAAGTACAGGGCTGTAAAAAGTACAGTAAAACTGTAAAGAAGTAGAAGTATGAGTAAATATAAGTAAATATACTTTGTTAAAAGAATGGCTTTTTTTCCACATTTATTTCTGAGTTTTTGTTTTTCCTCCAACTGACATCCACTTATGTTTGTGTAGTTTTATGTACCAATACAGCTATAATTATTTTTTCATGACCATTTTCCAACCACGTTTTATCACTTTGAATTAAACATACTGTTTTTTGTTACTGTGCCTTTATGACTTACAAACATGAATGATCTCTGTTCTGATTGGCTGTCCTGCATTGTGCCTTGTTTAAAAAGCAGTGCAGACTGAAATGCTCCGTGTAACTTCAGTAAGAACTGGTGGATATAAATAAATGCACTGAAAACAGGCTGTTGCAGCTTAGTTTTCATTTTTGGACTATATGGATTGAGCAATGACCAGTACTTTTAACAGTGTTTACATACTACATTAAACTATTTTATAAAAAAAAAAAAATACATTTAGTTTTTAATGATATGAGTAATAATACTCACACTAAGTCAAGTTAGCACACTTATGGGTTGTTTCATTTTCCAGTTGAATTTAGTTAACTTTTAATAAAGAAAAAGGAAAATGTGCAGGAACTTAACTGATTGGAAAAAGAAAAAAATCTCCATGCCTTTGAATACTTTAAAGGTCTAAATTAGGAATACCTAAATATTTTGTCTTGGAGAGTGAAAGTGCTTGTTGTGGGCCGAATCATTTTTTAAAAAAAATAATAATAATTTTTGTGTTAGACTATATTTTGTTAGTAAAATATTTAAATTGAAATATTTGAAATTGAATTTTTTAAGAAAAATAAGATTTGTTATATATAGCCCCGCAAGCAATCATTATTCACAATTCATTATTTTCTCTTTTTGTTCCCACTGGCATTGGCCCAATATCAATACTGGCTATCAGATTGATGCTGTATGTCATCAATGTGTTTTTTTTTTCTTCACAGATCTGGTGCCTTACACTCAGGACCGAACAGACAACAGAAACTGACTGATTACAGAACGCAAATCTAGATGAGTGGGAATGTGTAAATATGTTTGAATGCAGTAAATAAACTATCATTTGTACTTTTTTATCTTTCACTATTTATTTATTTCAGTTATTTCTGGACAAATGACTGACTAGCAATATGTATCAGCTTCTTGAGACCACTGTATGTTCCTGCATATAAAATATCACTTCTATATAAAAATGAAATGATATGAAAATATCAGTTCTTGAATTTTATTCTAACAGTACAGTATCATTCAGACAAATCACCACAAATGTGTGTTGCTGTATTCTATGTACTGGTTGCGGTGTAACTTAACAAGAAGCGTACAACATACTGCAGTGCAACCACATCACCCTTACAAGTGTATAAGTCTATAATACATTCAGTACAGCCACTGTCCCACTCAAAACACACAGGTTGTCTGTCATACAAGATAATTTGGAGTGATACATATTGGTTTTGTCATTTGACATTCAACTGAGTCAATTCATACTTGAAAATGCAGTGCCATGTCCATAACTCAAAACAGTTCTTCCATTTGCCAGATAAAAATGCTTGAGAGTCCTGCTGTGCCACTGCAAGGAACAGGAGAGCTAAATCTATATCATAACAGATGAAGCATCTGAAATGAGGTTAGTTAAAAATATGCAACAAAAACAGCAATGCACCTCAGAAATGTAGTACAAAAAGCATGTTCACACAGAAAAGCAACATCTATGGCTATGATTAGATAGGCAGTAAAATCTGATAAGTATCTGATCTCATCGTTGAAGTCTAAAAATGAGGAATCGGATCTCTTTTTATTCCAGTTTGGAGCACTTTCTGTATGCTTCTAGGTAAACTGTCGCACAGCAGTTTGTGTAAACGCATGATTCTGATCAGGAAGGACATGAAAAAGACACTGGATATAAGTCTACAGTCTGAGCAATGGCTCCACAGGAATGTTTCTTCCAAAACCAAAGATTTATTGTGCAACATTTAATTAAGGGTTGATCTGATGATAGACTTTGTTTTTGCAACATTTTGCACATAATGTTCAAAATAAAAATAAACTATCATAAAAAAGACTAACAACTTAGCAAACCAAAAAGTGGAAAAATGTCACATTTTCACATGAAAGGGGAATTCCACCATTTTTTTTCTGTATATTTGAATCACTAATATGTAAAAGTCATTGAAAGTGGTTTGAGGTAAAATGTTCCATTCTAGGGAATTGTACCCAGTCAAAAATGTTCACAGTGGTGGTGATAGGAACCAGACGTCTAAAGCTTTTAATGAATCTAAAAGCTCCCTCACAAAGTTAATGCACAAAATGGTTACAAATATGCCGCCTGATGCCTGAGACATTGTTTTTATGAAACTTTGGAGATGTGATTTTGGCCTGAAACACATTTTTAAAATACATCCATGGCTGAGAGGTGCGTACAGGGCGTTGTAAGGCAAAACAGTCCCTTAAAAGAACTTGTCAGTTTACCGCTATTTTACCGTTATCCACAGTGATATAAAAAATATGTGGGTTCACTGCTGGTTTTGGATAGTAAATAAAATTACTAGATTTATGTTGTAGACATTGTGACACCTTGTTCCTATTACCACCACTGTAAAGAAATTAGAGTTGGTTAGTTTCTTTATGATGAACTATTTCACCTCAGTCCTCTCTGAATGATGTTTATATCTCAAATAAATTATAAAAACAATCTGCATTTTGAAAAAACAAAGAAGATGGACTTCCTATTTAAGTACATTGCTTGTTCCATGAGCATGTTTCAAGCTCTCATTTCCTGTAAATAAAATATAATTCAAATGCAGCAAGTCTTGGACTGAATGTGATAAAAAGTAATGTCTCAAAATATAATTTGCTATTACTACCCTGATATTTGATTGCTCAGAGGATGCGTTCAAAGGCTATAAGCACATTTTAACACTTAAATTCATGTTAACATGACCGCTGTTGCAAAGACAGTCATTTTATTCCTTGACGCAAAATGTTTTGCTTGTCCACTGCTGTGTAACACCATGAACTTTGCCACTGCTAGATTATTTACCCCTTAATTTCCACTTTAAAAGCACCTGCCAATTCTAACCGTTTTCACTCTTTGTACTTCTTGAAATCCGATATTGCTTTTAAAGTACAATCCCTTTAAATACATGAATTGAGTGATTCCACATCAAATTGAATTGGATGTACTGGTAAAAGCAGTACAGGCACAAGTCTTTGGCTACTCAAAAGCATGTTTTTTTTTGTTTTTGTTTTTTTAAATACACCTTTAACTTTGGCAACTTCATTTGCAAGGATTCAAAGCCAATAATAGCTACCATTCCCATCATCACTGATGTTTGAGGTATTAATCGAGCAATATAATCGCAATAAGAACTTTAATTTTAAACCTTAACTACAACAGTAGTGTTCTCAAATGACTGAAGACAATCAGTACCTCTTCCCCTCAGCTGGAGGGTTTCTTTGTTTCAAATGTAGTTGCATCCAGAGCTCAAAAAATATATTAGTACATAGAAGTACATAGTCAAAATATAAAAATGCACTTATGTCTATAGAAGCACTAGACAGTGAACACTGCATACTGTGGAGGCTAATGCCACCGATAATAAAAATTCAGCACTTCGATTTTCTCCTATGATCGAAGTCCCATACCCAAAATAAAACAGCTGAAAACTGAACAGTGAATGTTTCCTCTATTAAATTTACCAGATGGTGCAGTAACAGCGATGATGCAGGTCAAAGGCATGCCCTCTATATGAGCAAGCATGTAATCCACTAGCAGCCTACACGTAGCATTCACTCACTCACGCGCAACAAAAAGACTACACATTCGGATTTTATTTAGAAGTACAAAGAGCGAAACGGGATTAAAATGTTAAAACCTATAGACACCATCTGAGAAGACATTTCCACATTCCCTACAAAACGTCCTCCGTGGCATAGTTCTGCTCTCAGCTTACAAATTAAAAACCACTGCGAGAACGCACAGTGCTGCTGGACGAGAAGAGACGGTCTTCCTCTTCTCAGTTGGCGATTTTCTCAATTTCATCCAAATCGTCTGTGTCCAGCTTCTCGATTTTCTTACCTGTGGGGAGAAACAGATGTGGATTTTATTGGGGTTGTTTGGATAAAAGAAAGTTACACATTTATTTGACATCGTTTGGCAAACTTTAATGGCTTTAAAGTGAAAGAGCTGAAATGGAAAAACACAGAACACTCATCTGTGCATCTACTTACCTCTCTAATAAATGCCACTTTAAACTAAATCACCAAACCAAAAACAGGGCCCTCAACTCATATTAAAAGGGGCACTCTGGCCAAAATCTTAAAAAATAAAATAAAAAGAACCATCTCTACATCTGTCGTAAACATGCATACGCACATCCTACACTGGTGCCGCAGAAGTTTCCAGAGTGAGATTCTCTGGTTTAAATACTAAGCAACCCCATTTCTGATGATGTATCTTGAAGGTGAGAAGAACTTCTGGAAATCTAGAACTGCTTTGGGATTTATTTCTGAGGGAGTGCTGCTTTAATTTTTCCTGCTTCCTGTTAGCTGATGAATAGAGAAGGAAAACAGATAGCTAACATTACAGCAAGGAAGCTGAGTATCATATTGCAGCTGTATACCGTAGTACCTGTCTTATAATCATCACAGCAATTATAATCCATTACTGAAACAGAACAACAAGCTAAAAGCTTAAGCCAGCAAAGTAGCTGGTTATCTGGACACCTTACCTCAGTTTATGATTCTTTCACTGTTTTTCTTATGATTTTGTTCGTTAACCGAGGTAAAAGTTACACTAATGCTAGTGTATTTGTATTTATTAGCCTATAGATCATTGGCTAGCAGTCAGGATTAGTTAACACCACCAAGATTCCCAGTGGTTCTATGATGTATTTGTATACTGCTTACTGGGTACTGTAGTAAGAGAAGACTGATGAAAGAAAATATGAAAATGATAAAATCGTGAATCGTGAACTAATGAGGCTGATAAGCTGCTCTACAAAATACAGCATAAAATGTCAAATAGGCCAGAATGCCCCTTTAAGGGCCCTTAAGCTCTTGTATTTAGAGTCAGGCAGCATATTTAATACTTACTGAAGTGCTCCTGGATGCGATTGAGAACGTTCATACTGAACTTGCTGTCCACCATGTTGATAGCCAGCCCTCTTTTGCCAAATCGCCCTGTGCGCCCAATCCGGTGCAAGTAGGTCTCGTTGTCAGGGTTTCCATCTTTGTCCACCGGCAAATCGAAATTAATGACCACAGAAACTTGCTCCACATCAATACCTGTTAGCCATTCAGAAGAACAGAATTAAAGTTACATGTAAGATCAAGTCTTTATCAGAAAAAAGCTGTATTATATCAAACTAGCAGTAATATGATATATGCTCTGAGTAGACATTTATTATTTATTTACCTCTGGCACAGACGTTTGTGGTAACCAGCACTTTCTCTTTGCCTTCACGGAAACGCTGAATAACAGCCGCTCTCTGCTCCACCTGCATCTCTCCACTCAGTAGCGCCACCTGGTGGCCTTCCTTAGACAGTTCTCCTGCCAGCCAGCCTGCTGTTCTCCTGGTCTGTGATCACAACAGCATAAATCAAAATACAAATGCAGCTAGAGAATGCTACATGATCCACTTTCAGTTCAACCAAAACAACTGAATATTGCTCAAGTGAAGATCCAACAGGGGTGTATGTTGTAAGCTTACATGGCAGAAGATCATGGCCTGTGCGATGGTGATGGCCCCATAGATGTTGCAGAGAGCCTGGAACTTCTCCTCCTTGCTGTTGCAGACCACGTAGTACTGCTTAATTGTGTCAAGTGTCTCCTCCTCACGTTTCAGCTTAATGATGTTGGGATCAGGGATGATACGCTTAGCAAAGTTCCACACAGTCTCCTCAAACGTGGCCGAAAACAGGAGCATCTGGCAGGTTTTGGGCAACATCCTGAGGGGAAGAAGGCAGGGAGTGTCAATTTTCATCATCATTTGATCCACATTTAGGACTATTATTTTTATGCATCTAAAAATTGTGAAAACAGATGAAAGCATGAGTCTCGGAACAAAACTCCAAACACTAGCATCTGTACAGTCACAAAAGCTACCACCATTTAATAATTCATACTCCTCATATCGTTGCGATCCTAACAAAACTCAATTTCCAACTTGGTAACTTACAAGAGAAAGAGAAAACACTTAACTTACAGTGTAGAGACTATATTGCAAGTAAATTTGGACCGTTTCTATTGGTTCAAAAAACGTTTACACAATGTAAAGGACAGCTGTTCAATTGTGTAAAAATAAATTAAAAGGAAAAAAAAAAGTGTTATGAGGTTTTCTATATGACAGAAATGATAGGTCAGTTTGCAGACCTCTGGATGCGGATGCTCTGGTCTAGGTGACCCTGTGTGGCAATCATAACGTCTGCCTCATCCAGCACAAACACTTTGATTTTCTTGGGGTCGATGAACTTGAGCTTCTGGCACCAGTCCAGGACTGTGCCGGGGGTGCCGATCACAATCTGCTCCTGGAGCTTCATCCCCCTCTCCACTGGACAGGAGACATGACAACAAGCTCAGTAACATTTAGCATCATCAGGTTTCCACATGCAATCATTATAATCAAAAATATACCAAAATCCATTTATCGTATCAACCCCAATTCACAGTAAACTATATTTTTCAGTGTGACTTGTTCACATCAAGCTCTCAAAATGCTATAGACATTTGGGGGTAGTTCTGTAACTGAATATTAGGAAAACCAATTTTGATGAGATGAGGTTGCGCACTATGAATGTGGTTTAATAAATAAAGAGCTTACATTTGTTTCCTCTGATTGCATACATTAATTTGACTTCAGGGTAAAATTTGCCCATCTGCTCGATGACCTTGCCAGTCTGGAGGGCAAGCTCATATGTAGGCGACACACACAGACACTAAGAGAGAGAGGGAGAAAGAAAGAGAATGGTAACGTCTTCTGAGAAAAATCAACGTTAAGCAACCCGATCTAATTTCCCTGCACACTGATGTAAAGGAAGATGCTGGCCATACCTGAGGCCATTTGTTGTTGGGATCCACGTGACTGAGCATTGCCAGGACAAAGGCTGCAGTTTTACCCGTGCCTGACTGAGACTGAGCTATAAGATTTTGTGGGCTGGAGAAAAGAGACATTAGTAGAGTGAGCATTATTTATTATTATTAGTGTTTGCAGGGTGTTTAATGTTTAATAAACATGCATTATAAATGTTACTGCTATTAAGACTACTGAATCATGCTTTGATTCCCCCTAGGGGGGAAAAAAATCTGAGGGAGCTGGTATAGACCAGGATTAAGACCATGGCCTAATAATTTGGATGCACTGAATAAAAAACATATTGCTATTCAAATGACAGTCAGTAAAGCCCTTCTAGCACAGAGTATCATTCATCATAACATGGAGGAAAAAAAAAAATCTAGGGGTGCACCAAAAGGCTAGCCACCATTTCAGCAGCCAAAACATTTGCACTTTGTTTTTTGTCTGAAAGAAAAAAAAACTGGCCCAAAAAAGACAAGATTACATAGGTATATAACAAAGTGTCACCATCCAACACTTAAGTCATCTGAATGGTAATTATTTGGTGAACTTGGTTATTAAACATGCTATTTGTTCCCTTTGCTTTCCTGCACCAATCAGCTTCGATGTGTTGAAACAGACTGAGCAGCACCAGATCAGTTTAAAAAAAAAAGTGATTTGTAATCACTGTTTATAGCGAGTACCAAGAGGAGGTACAACACCCATGAACTTCTCCACTACAGGTTTGATCACACGTCCAGTTCGATATGCAGAATACGAAATAAAAGCAGCAAGGAAAGTCCCAGCTAACATGCCAACTCCATTTGCAGCCCTTTTTTTAAATAATGAAAAAAAATTGAAAGTGTGAAAATGCTATAACAAACACAATCCAAGCAATTTCCTTGGATAACCAACCCTTCTTTATCTTCAAGGACACCGGATTTCATAGGCACATGCTGTAGCGTACACACTCATCATTTTAGTAAATGTATTTTCCATTAACTGTTTTTATCTGCGCAGATCCATCCTACTAAAGGCAGATTTTATCAATAAGTATGTTCATGCTAGGTTCCAAAATGGTGATGCTACAGACCCCCAAAGAGTTAAGTTATTCACTCTATAAACCTGAACTATCAGCAGGTCTACTCAACAGCAATAGCAAGTACTCATAATTGATTAGTGTAGTGAATTAGAAACTTACGGTTCTGCAAGCATCATGGGCAGAGCATTTTCCTGAATTTTGGAGGGTCTGTTAAAGCCCATGGCATAAACACCTTGAAGAAGCTGAGGTTTCCTGTAGAGAAAATATCATTTTAATATTTTATATTAAATATATTAAACTATTAAACAGATAGCTAGACAGACAGCTAATATCTCAGGGATATTATTAAACCCTTTATTAGGACATTTAATCCATGCTGTAATCATAACAGTCAACTCACAATCGCAGCTCCTCAAACGATTTGACTGAGTAGAGTGGCGAGTTTGGATCCCTCTGGAGAACTTCCACTTGATTTGTTGTGTTCACTAGATTGCTTCGTATCAGCTTATTCAGTAGTGACTGAGCTGCTTTGTCATCTGAAACGCAAACAGTACCAACTCAAATCTCCCATTAAGTAAAAGCATGTGTTCACCAAATGCTCCCAATCTAATTCAGATCATTTTCAGCAAGAGGCCAGTGATCAATGATGATTTAATGAAGAAATTTAATGGAAAAATAATTTGCCTTTGTCATCCTCTTCTGTCTTTTCTCCCTCTGTCTTAGCACCTAATTGAAAAGATTGAAGACAACCAGTTTTAACAGGAACATGTGCCAAACTTGTTTTCAAAAAAAAAAATGAACAGAAACAAACTGAAATAGAGCATTTCTCACCATTTTCCTCTGATTTTGGTTTGTCTTCTTTTTCATTTAACTGAAGGGTGCTTATCTGTCAAAACAAAAAATAAATGTAAGTGTAAAGTGCTGGGGTTAAAGTTGGAGTTAAACCAACTTTATTCTCATTCCCTACATATACAACATAAAATACTGTACATATACATCCATAAGGACTGGGTGATAGATCATCTATACCAGTATGCCACATTACACTGTGTCCTAGGGTTTTTAAGTTTCAGCAATATTTTTGCAATGTGTTTAACAAATAACTAGCATTATATACACATGAAATAATGCCCAAAAAAACAGTTGTCATCTTCCTGCCAATCAGTTTATTTTTAGATATTCAATTCTATTTTCTGTGCTTCACTCATGGCAAGCAGGACCTGACAGTTCCTGACAGGACCTGAAACTTCAACATTGCTTAGAGTTTGAGACTGATTTAAAAGAAAAGGGAAAGTTTAAAATGTGCATATCTGGTTACCATTTACAATACTGTGTAAAATTCCCTTGGGTGTAGTTTTAAGAGAAGAAACTGAGAGAATAAGTCCAATCAAAACAAGCTACGTACAAACTTGATATTCTTGTAGCATGGAGCAGTGGTTTTCAAACTGTGGGTCACAGCATACAAACACAAAGTAGATGAAATCAGTGTATTTATTTTCACAAGGGCAAAGCTATATGAAGCACATTTTAGATCAGAGGTGAGAACCACTCAGTTTCTACATCGCACTGCTTTCAAACCTAAAGCATTGTTAATTTGGCCTTTTATACCAGCAACACATTGCAAGCAAAAAGTGTAGTTATGAAGTGTTGCGTGAACAATGACAAAAGCAACGCACACAAACCATAGCATTGTTTTTACTTTTTCCTTGACAAAAAAGAAAGTATAGAGTACAAGTACACATTAAGCCTTTTTGGGGTTTTATGCCATTTTACTTCTTAGGAAACCCTGACAAATGTTTAGGAATAGAGTAACGTTACCAGGAAGAATGATCTCTCACTCAACTAGAGCTGAGCGATATGGAAGATCAAGATACTGCCATACATTTTCATGACACACAATGCCACAGTTTCTTTCTGACATCTGAGAAGTTGGAACAGGCAAAGTAGTGTCACATTTAAAAAAAAAATACTATCAAAAACTATAAACCTGATTTGTAGTTAACATTTCACATACTGTTCTGCACAAAATCCAGTAAAACAGGGCTGATTATACTGTCTTTGTAATGAAACACACAGTTTGGAATAGTTGAAGTATTAAAAATATCCATGATATGCCCTGAAAAGCATACTGACATACTGTGCCATGACTTGTCATGACAACAGTAAACACTGTCATATTGCCCTGATGTCCTCCGAATAACTTAATGCCAACAAAAGGGAATTCCACCAGTTTTTCTACATTTCTAAATAATCCAGTCCTTGAGACGTAAAACAGTGCCATTCAGAGTGAATATTTGATGAGAAATGCTTCACTGTAGAGAAACTTTAACAGTAGTGGTGACAAGAACCAGGGGTCACATTATCTAGAACACATATACAGCCACTATATTTACTATTCCACACCAGTGAACCTACATGTGAGTTCTGATTTTTTAGCCTATATGTTGATAATGGTAAAAGTCATAAATTGAAAGTTTGAGACAAAATTTGACACTATTTTGCCTTACAACACCCTGAGCATACCCCTCCGCCATGAATGGATTACAATAATAGAAGTACATTTTAAGCCGAAACCATGACAAAACCATAATAAAACAATGTGTCAGACATCAGATAGCATATATCTAACCATGTCACACCACCACTGTGAACAATTCTGACACTAAGTTTATCTAGAACAGAGCATTTTTAGACCGAACCACTCCAAGTGGCTTTGTTTACATCTTAACCATTTCATTATGTAGAATTTTTTAAAAACTTCTGGAGCTCCCCTAGAAGTATCATCTGATATTGAGGTATTTGGAAAATATCATGATAATTAACTATCAATATCTCCCAGCCCCACCGGACACAAAAATAAAATACATTATAAATGTTGTTCATGTTTAAATTTCACTAAGTTAAATTGAGAAAGTTAACTAATATGCATCAGAATTAATTGTAGACGTAGACGCTAAAAACGAGTCTCTTGGGCTTCGGTTCGATGAATGTGTTGAACAGAACTGGTTGAACAAAACGATTCGTTCACATCTCTACAGCCGAGTCCGGCTCTGCTTCATTAGCACGATAAGCTAAGCAGCTAAAAATAAACGGCACATTATAGCTAAGCTAGTTAGTAGTTTTAAAAGAATATAGTTTTGTCTCATCTCAGTTGTAGGAACTGATATATGTAAGAATAAGAGAACACGAGTATCTACCGTTTCCAATCCAAAGTGAAAGCTGAGTTTTGAGTAACTAACCGCTAACAGCCGAGGCTAAAGTTGGCTTCCTAATTGCCGTTCCACCTTAAATCACGCAGCAGCTACATTCTGGCACCCGATGCACTTGAATGTAACTGCACCATTTAAGGTGGACCGGGAAAATTCGAACATGAAGCGAATTTAAGCTTCGTAGCTAACGGCTCAGTAGCTAGCTAGATAGCTAGTTAGCTGAACCACAGCAAACAGGTAACAGCGGTCCCACTTTAGAGTCCATAAACTTCGCTCCCCAGTATTATACAGAAAGACTTCTCACTCCAGATATTAAGAAATAAATACATGATTTATTGACCAAATCCTTCGATTTCAGGCCACTCACCGACTCCGCCGCGGCTTCTTGCTCGTCCACTGCCAGCGCCCACGAGTCCGTCGCCATGTCTGTAACTGAAATAAAACCTTTCTGTTTTTAAAACGACGTTCTGTGAGTTTAACAGCTCGCTGCTAAACTCGGCCAGGAGGATAAGACGTTTCACCTCTGTAAAAAGTGCTGCAATTTTACAAATTCATACAATGGCGTGCGTCTGCCGGACTTCTCGCAAAGTGTGCTTCCCTCACAACTCCGGGCGCATACAAGGCTAAATACACTTATGGTTCCTACTAAAGATGGACTAAAACCAGGGATGGGAGGTAGAAGAGCAAAACTCAGCACTGTTTGGCAATTCCGTTGATCTAACACACGTACTAAATCTGGAAACATGTGAAGGATGTTTTGAGTAAACAATTTTGCAATTACAGGGGCCACCATACATGCAATTAAGTCTGGGCAAAAATATAGCATTGTGATACTTGAACACATTTTGATGATGCACAATATGCCATCCGATCAGCTACTTTTTACTGTGCTGTTTATTAAGTTACTATATATGCTTGTTTATTACAAGCTCTTCAAAGGGGAACTCTTTTAAAAACTTTTACCTAATTAAATGGTTGAAATGTAAACATCCACAGTGGTTTGGTGTGAAATGCTCTGTTCTAGAAAAACTTGAAGTCAAAATTATTTACAATAATTATTTATTATGTGGTGATAGGAACCAGATGTGTGAAGAGTTTAATGATCTCCTTCACAGAAAGTTATTATATTAAAGGGGTTAGATTTATGCAACCTGATGTCTGGTGCATTGTTTTATGATAGTTTTGTGATAAAGCTTTGGCTTAAAATGTATTTCAATCCATTTATTTTAATGACTGTGACCGTGAAGGCTATAATACATGGTTTACATCATTGTCATACTCATCAAACCATTCAGTGACCCCTCATGCCCTGTAGACAGGGCCATCATACCAGAAGAGACCAGCCCATCAGCATAGAAATGTCATCATAGGTTAAATGTGATCAGTCAGATTAACTTTGTGTTGATTTGTAGTGACTCCTCACTCTAAAGGGACATATGGACTCAAACCATGCCAACAAAATGCCCCCCCAGAGCATAAGAGAGATACCAGACTCACTGTAAAGAGCAAGCATTCAGGCATGTACTGTTGTCTTGGTGTATGCCGCACATGCACTCACCCACTGGAAGAGTATGGTGAAGGATGACTCATCTGATCCAATATCACTCTTTCCACATCTCTGCAGACCAGTGCTGATGGTTCTTGCACCACTGAACTCTCAAATGTGCATTTGTCTTTGTAATGAGGGGTTGCACTACAGCCCTACTGTAATATCCTTTTCTGTCTAGCTGTGAATGGATTGTTCTTGCTGGCAGTCTGATCATGTCCTACATTGCCATTCTTACTCACTTCATACAGGTAGTCTTCTGTTTTTCCTTACATATGCACAAGCATCTCAGTCATTGAATGTGCACTTTCTACCACAGTTTCCAACCTGATTGTCTTTCCCATAGATCTAAATGCAGATGTCACATAAGTCACTGTTAGTGTTGAAACACTAGCCAGTTGGGCAGTGTTTGAGACTGGAGCTCCTCTTGCCATATTGATGCAAAATTGAGGCAATTTTAGCCTGCTTAGCTTTTTTACACATTTTAGTACCTTTAGGACCCTGCTAGAAAAACCAGCTTAGACCATCATTGCTGGTCACCAGCAAAACAAGCATATGTTGTGTGTGGTATGATGGTCAGCAGCAATGGAAGCTGATTAGCTGATCACCACCAAAACCAGCATGTGTCTTGTTTTAATGCTAAACCAGCACCAGAGCAGCATAAATCAGCATAGACCAGCATGAAATGCATGCTGATCTGTGCTGTTTTTTCAGCAGGGTGGTAATGTCCTGTTCATTTGGCATTGTTTTATATGAAAGTTTGAAAGTCTCAGCTTCTGCTAACGGTAGTTCTGAAACTTAAAAGCTTCACCTTTCCTAACTTTGCTTTTACTGACTTCCTAAAGGTACCAGTATGAGTAACGAAAATGACACCGACCAAAACTCTTTTTGTATGTTTTTGAGTTTTCACCTCCCACACAGCTGAAATACAGTATTTGAACCTCACCTGACCTTGTCTACAAAAAGAGAAGGTAAAATCTTATACAACAAGGGGAAAAAAACATTTTGTAGCTTTCTGTAGCTTATAAATGATCACATATCTCCAATCTGATATCCTGTAGGAGCTGAAATCTTCTCTGTTAACTCATGTAAGCTGTAACAAGTAAAGGCCTGTGATGTGCCTGCCGTGTACATTTGACTCTGAGCTGTCCATCTGTTTTATCAACCTCTGACACAAGCAATCATTCTCCAATAACACACAGCTAGTCCTGCCTTATTACTCTCTTAATAATGCATCACTTCCTTTTATAATGCTGATACTTAATACCTCCATTGCTTCTTCTACTGCTGAGCCTATTTTCTATAATTCAAATCTAGAATCAGGAACAGAGACTGGATTCACGAAAGTGTCTTAAGAAATAAAATCTTCTTAAATGTGTTTTTCTTAACTTTATACTAAAAAAAGTTAAGATAAATTATTCTTCTTCTTTGAAGACCTCTTGTGAATTCTCTTTATTTCTTAACTCCTCTAGTAAGAACAATTCAAAGAACAAGTGTTTTTTTTTTTTTTAAATATGTTCTTAAGTATTTTAATCTGATGATGTCTTCATAAGGTTTGACAAGGTAAGCCTCTTAAACTGTAAATTCTAATGAGTGTCACAAAACATAACTGTGGAAACAGACCACCCCTGGAATATCCATTTAACAGAAACAACAGTTAATTCAAATAGTATCTTGCCATTTATAGTAAGCTGTAAAATGTTAAATATTGATAGCCTTCATATAAAAAATAAAGACTTCTAAAGAAAATAATTCAAAACATTTGAGGACTTTCTTGTGTACTTCTTAGTTTTCTTCGTAAGTTGTTTCTTTTGAAGGATTTGCTGAATCTGGCCCCAGGATCTTGTTCTAGACAATGTTGTTTATTACAGGCTTTTGTGAGCTACATACCTTTTTAATGACTACAGTGGCTGCACGTTGATGTTCTAGTGATGAATATAATTTTATGTGAGCAGTCAAGTGTCTAAACACAAGATAATACACAAGTATGTTACCTGGGGTAAGGAATGTGATTAAAATCAAAATTGTAGAACTTCATTGTCTCTTGCAAAGGTTCTATGTATATCTCTGTATTCATATTGTGTTTATTTGGTGTTTTGCATTCATTTTATGTTTACCTGCCCAGGGACTGCAGATAGACTTTAGCTAGTAGCTAACTCTGGTGCAGATGAAAATTAGACACTGAACTAACAATTCGTGGTTTTTTTCTGAGCAATAAGATAAACATAAAACTACAAATGTGCTCTAAATGGCATTTGAGTCCAGCCTTTGCATTTTGATTGAAGTCAAGCCATTAGCTTCTACATGGTTCCTTTTGTTCCAGGCAATGATTTCATGTCCCCATAGCTTGCCTGGATTGTTGCCAAAGTCGGCATGCAGGACTAATGCAGAGACCCACGGTGGACATCCATCTGGGCCAGCATCTTTTATTCAGGAGCCTCACTTAGACACTTAGCAGCCATGTGGCCCAAGGCCTGACAGAGTCGACGTGTGCCATGAAGACAAAGAGACCACTCAGTGCCACGCTGAAAATGATATCTGTGCAGTAGGTAGTGATGAGTTCTCTCACAGCCTATTCAGAGGCTTGGTTTCGCAGTGGCCTGTTAGTGTACAGGGAGCATAGAGGTATATGCAAAAATCATAGAGATGATTCTATTTCTGAACACACACCGCAGAAAAATGATATATTGCATCATAAATATAGGCTATATCTAATTTTTATTCTATTTCTAATTTCTAAAGAAATAGAGCAGTAAGATGATTTCTCTTGATTTCGTTCTATGTATATAAGAAAAAAATGTCTAGAAATGTGCTGAATAGTCTTATAATAGTCTTATATATAGCCTACATTTAAGATACTCTGACATGCCAAGGTACGCAGTGCATAGACTGCAGCGATGCTACCTTCTCTTTTGCCATATAGACCAGAAGTAAATCCTGTTTTGTTATGTAATACACAGGCCTATTGGAGCGTGTAAACCTATATGTAGTGATGCTGTTATAATTTCCTTTTCAGAGGCTGAAAGGTCCAGCCTTTAGCAAAATTAAGCATAATTCAGATTTCCAAGGACAGTCTTACATTACATCATTTGGTCGTAAATAATGCACATTTATACACACAAACAAGTAAGACGCAGTTACTACAACCTTATCGCGACGCCTTTTTTTCAAGCCTCTGCACCAAAAAACAAAAACGCCTCTCTCTCTGTGAAAACTTCTCTCGTCCGCTTCCCCCCTGACGACTTTGCAGCAGTGAACGGAGCTAAAACCTGTAATGGTTACCATGGAAACAGTCCAGTCAGCCAGCAGCGTGTCTCTATCTGGTGTGTACTGTGTACATGCAGAGTGTGTGTGTGTGTGTCTCTTGGCTTCAGACTCACCAAACAACAACCAGCCTTCCATACAAATCTACACAGCACATACAGTCCTAAAAAAAGATGGTTCTTCAAGGGTTCCTCACAAAGGGAATTGGTCCTATTTAGAACCATGAGTTCTATATAGAACCATTTCATGCTTGAATGGTTCTTTGCATGGTGAAATGGTTCTTCAGAGTGATGGAGAATGTGTTGTATATTGTTCTATGTAGAACCTTTTTGAAAATTGTTCTATATAGCACCAAAAAGGGTTCTTGTATTGTTACAAGCATGACATCATGACAATAGCAGAACTTTTTTGGTTCTCCCCTGAAGAACCTTTTTTTAAGAGTGTACCAGGCCCCTGATGAGTTTTATGTAGAACTAAAACAGCTTGCCTCTGCTTTATGACTCGTGTCGTAGTGAAATATCTGCCAAGAATATGACATTCTGCAGTATTATTTGGGAAACAATAACAATGGCATTAATTGTATGTAATATAGTGTGTTAGATGTTTAACTCTTAAGCCCATACTGCTCTCCATAGGCTATCACATGGCGAATGTGGCTTAATGTACTAAAACAACAACTTTTTTTCTCATTTGGGGTTTCTAACTCATTGTTTTAGTACATTAAGTACCAATGTTCTCATTCAGTATTTCTAAGTCATTCTTATAGTACATTAAATGGGAATTCCACTGATTTTTCAAAAGTTCTTCCACAATTTAATCACTGAGATGTAAACAAAGTCATCCAGAGTGGTTTGATTTGAAATGGTTCACTGTAGAGAAATATATCAACTTTAAAATTGTGGTGATAGGAACCAGGGGTCACAATATCTACAAAGCAAATATAGCCATTTCACTGTCCAAAATGACCAGTGAAGATAAACATGTCTTCTGTGTTTTTACATGTAACAGCGATAATAGTAAAATGGGGCAAATCTGAAAAAATTAGTATTTGTAACCATTTCATGTATGTAAGAGCTTTCAGACATTCAATTCTTCAGACATCTAGTGTCTGTCACCACCACCATGAACAAATCTGACTTATTAAGTTTCTCTAGAATGGAGTATTTCACATCAAACCACTCTGAATAACTTTGTATATGAACAATTCTATTATATAGAATTATATAGAATTATATTACATAGAATTTATATATATTATATAGAATTGTTCTCAAATCACTGAAATTCCCCTTTAAGTGCCAACATTTTCAAACACAACATTTTTTAGGAAGGTAGGGGTGGACGATTTGACAAACATACAATATCATGATACTGTTTTCACGATACACTATATGTATCATATTAGGTTTCTGATAAGTAGAAAAGATACTGCCCCAGCAGTGCCACATTAAAAAAAAACACTGTCAAAAACTATGAATATAATGAATATACAATTACTTTTATTCAACGTGTCACATCCTGCACTGCGCTAAATCCAAATAAACAGGACTAATTATGCTGTCTTTGTAATGACTCATGCAGTTGGTCAGCGGTCTTTATGTAATGACGATATCCACAATATGCTCAAAAAAGCGTAGTGTGACATCATTTATCATGATAACGATAAAACATCGTCCTATTGCCCACTCCTACTCCTAGGTCAATGTTTTAGTATATTAAGTGCCACATTTGTCTCATTTTGGTGTTTCCAATTCATTGTTTAGTAAATAAGGTGCCATTTTTTCCTCAGTTGGTGTTCCTAGATGGTTGTTTTAACACCCTTTTCTTTATAATGGCTTTAAATTGCGAGAAAAAAATCTTACTATGATCAGTAAGATGTGAGAGATATTTAGTGTTCTTAGCTCATTATTTTAGCACATTAAGTCATGCTAAGCTTTTCCCAATTTTAGAATGTCACTTCCACAGAGAAATGGAAGTCCAGTGTCTGAAATGCTTCAGAGACTGAGCTCTGTGAGCATATACAGTTCAGGAGGGAAAAAAACCTGTCCAAACATCACATCATACCGTGCAGTCACTCTCCTTAACAAAATTAAACCTTGGAATTCCAGAAACTTTCCACAGATCATTTCCGAAAGCACCAGAAAGTTTCCTCTATAAGCATCGCAGCCTTTGCCCAGCAACCCGCTCTGATAAAGTGTGAGTCACTCTCTCGGTGGAGGGGGCACTCCCATGCATCCCAACGAGGGAGGCCCCATGCACTAAAAAAGACAGAAAAAAAGCATGTAGCCAAATGCAAATTGGGCTCGGCATCACAATATTTGCATGCCTCCACCAAACACAGTGCTTTTCTGTATACGCCATTGGGGGGGATGGGGGGGTGACTTCCCCAGAGCATTACGTAAGGGCTTTTTGATGAGAGCTGACGCTATTCTTATCATGATCTTCATACCTCAGTATTGCCTAATTGTGACTTTTCTAGCAATGTACAAGCACAATACTCCTCACGCCACAATGACCCCTAACTCCGCCCCTTTTTTTGCCTTCAAAGGAAACAGGAAGGTGCTCTTCTCTTTTTTTGAAACAGCAGTAATCTATTTGCAGTGCCATGTTTTCCTATGACAGCCACTCAAATGCCAGTTTCAGTTCATCCTTTCAGTAGAAGCAATGGGCTTTGTGCACAGTGCTGTGGCCAAATCCTGTTCAAGCTCTACTAAAGGCTCGCAAAACCCAACTGACCAACAGCTTAGTCATGTATTTTTGGTGAAAAAAGCCTCTCTCTAAATCCTACAGCATGCCAAACCACAGAATTGCAATATTGGAGTAGGGGGGTGGGCAATATGAACATATGTTATTGATATCATGATAAATTACATTGAAAACATCTAGAACACTGAACAACTGCATACCAAAACCTTGAATCTCCAAGATGACAAGGGAAAAACATTCTTAATGTGTAATGAAAGTTTGGATAACAACATTTTTTCCTACTAATTTTGAACCATTTCTATTGGTCCATACATCATGAAATTTTAACACAATGCAAAGGGTAGCTGAAGTTTTCAAACTGCACAAAAAATAAAAAATAGTTTTTTGACAATATATCATTTCAAAGAAAGCATCACTTGTCCGGTGTAATTGGAATAAAAATCACTGTACTCAGTTTTTGTTGATATTTTTATCAATTACAAATTTTCTGAAATATTTAACGTACAAACATGATTAAAAACAGAAAATCATGATACGTATCATGTATCGTGAAAATGTATTCAAGTATCATGATATTACATATTTGCAATATCGTCCACCCCTAACCGCAGTATTGCAGCTATCGCAAAACGCAAGCATGAGGACACTGAGCGCTCTGCTCCTAAACAGCCTGAGCCGTTCGCGCTCAACGCTGCTGTACACGAAAGGAAAAGGTGCATCTGTTGCCATGGCAGCCCATCTCCAGTCCGTGCGCTTTGAATGAGCGTTAAGACCAGACTGGTAGGAGTGGCAGCTCCCAGCGAGAAAGCTCCATGCCAAGCGCACTCCTATGGCTCGTACGGATGATATTTTCCCTGACGTGCCATGGTATTTTTTTTGGTTTTCTTTTTTTTTTTTTGGTAATCTCAGTAGACCGGCTTTAAAAACGCCTCACTCTGACAAAGGCTCTTCCCATACCATGAATCATTCAACGCACGCGGCAGCTACGGAAATGTCACGTCCCCTGGATTTATACGCACACAGATTTAACCAGGCCAAACAGGGCATTAGAGAGAAAGATAGACAGACATGGAGAGAGAAGCATTTGTGGCAAAAACATTGCTTTTCGGGTTTTTTTTTCCGTTTCTCAAAATCTTTAATATTACAGATATTCCCGTAGAAATGTTCTGTGAAATAAACACAACATTAGCCATTATAATAATCAAGAAGATTCTCTTGAGGTCTCGAGGTTCGTCATGCATGACTAAAGTACATCACTAGTATGAAAAAAGCCCTGTAAACATGAACACCAAATATTAATAAAACTGTGCACATGTAGAGAGCACAGAAATACATATTTCTGTCATGATTATTTGGCACACCTACAATAAATATGTAGTACAATAATAATAATGCAACAGTAATTTTTTTTCTTTTCTGTTTTTTGAACTTGACATACCTGATCTAACCCTCGTCAGCTCAGAAACATCAAATGCATGTATGAAATTACCATAAAGGAGAGAGGAGGGGGTAGACCATGGTAATCCCTTAGTCAAGCTACATCCAAAAAACATAAATCGGAAGGAAAATCACTTGTTTTTCCTGTCATTCTCTATAAAATATTTGCTCAGACCTCCAACACTGCAAAAAAAATGTATCCAAAGATTTAATAAATAGCCTTTTTCCCCTTAAATACATAGTGAATCTCTTTAGAGATTCACTGTGGAAGAGACGTCGACTTTGCCATTTTACCATTAACATCATCAGCGGCAACTCGGCTAACTGTGCATCAGATTACAGTTGGGGGGAAGACACTGGTTTGATGTTAATGGTATAATTCGCTCAGTCTCTCTAATTGCTTCATCATATCCCGGTAGGAGAGGCCAGCCTCGTTTTACGAGACTGACCTCTGTCATTGCACATAGCTCGAGTGAAGTTTGGAAAACACAGTATTCCTCCATGACCCCCTGGGCCCTTTCGTCCAGATCCCCCCTGCACGGGCGCCCGCCGCAATGTCCATCAGCAATCCCCCGTTCAATGGACATAGGGAGTTGGAGAGCAAGTGTGAAGTGCTTTGTTGCCAGATGGGAGAGAGTGCTTCTTTACAATGTCTTTGGGTACACACATCAAAAGGTTTAAGTGTCTTTGGATCCATTCACGCCGACGAGGACGACTTGTCTGTGGTCTTCTCCAGTGCTTCGGCATCATTGTCTTCGTCAACTGTTAAAGGTGGTGGAGAAAAAGAGAGGTTCATGAGGGTTGGATGTGACATGTTGCATGTTCACATGTTCCATCTATTCTGCTACTTCTCCTCCTCACCTCATCCCCCACCCCCTCCACTCTCTCACAAACAAACGGTTTAGTGATGGATTTTGCAGCTCTCACGCAAACATACACGGTGTTTAAAGATGGATTTTTAACTGTAAATCACCTTCAGGTACGAGAAAAAGCAGCCTGATCACCTCATAACGTACTACGGACACGCCAACAGCATTCACAGAGAAAGCGCAGGCACTGTTTAAATTCAGATTTGAATGGCGCACGAGACTGCGCGGTTTCTAACTGACGAATTCTGTTAAGACGTTTTTTCGTCCCGTCAGGTAAAACCGTTATTTTTATCAGGTAAAACCGGTATTATATTTTTGTCAGGTACTCTAAAACCGTTCTTAAAACCCACAAAACCACGTTATTTTATCCACAAACGAACCAAACAGCTTTACACAGCCTAAATCCAACCACGAAGTCGTCGTAGCCGTTAGCATTCGGAAAAAAAAACAGACCAAACGACAACGACGACGACGACATGCGGTAAACAAAAGGACTTGGGTGCTAATCAACTCGCCTCTTTTGCTTCTCCCAATCTGGCCGAGCTTGGGCGGTCGCTTGTTCTGGTTGCCGCTGAAGAAGTTGTTGGTGTCCTGGAGGCGGCAGGTGAAGGAAAGGTGCTGATCCTCGTCGCCGTCGTCGCCATAACGACTCATTTTCTCCTCGTTGTACGGCAGCACCTCCGACATGCTTAAGTTGTGGCTGAAAAAAACAACGACGCCGAGCGGCTAGCGCGTTAGCCCCCCTCTCACTGAGGGAAACGACGACGACGACAACGGAAAAAAATAGAATATGGAGAAACTGACGACTGAAGAAAGCGTCTCCCCAGCGCGCGAGCGGTGCTCTCTCTCTCTCTCCTTCTCTCTCTCTCTCCAAGCGCACGTGTGTCTCCGCGAGCCGGGGCTGGGTGCTTGGTGCTGAGTGGGTTGGAGAGGGGGGCAAAAATGCGCGAAAATGTTCACAATTTGCCCCTTTTTTTCCACTCAGGAGAAGTATAAGCAGCAGCTCCCCCGTCAGATATGCTAAGTTTTTTTTGGTGTTTGTTTCCAAGAGGTTTCCAAATGCGAAAGTCTGGAAAGAGGGAGCGTGGCGTGGAAAAAAGAAGCTGAGAAACGAATGCAAATGAGGGGGAAGCGATGCAAACACACACGGGCGCACTCTCTCTCTCTCTCTCTCTCTCACACACACACACACACATACGCACACGCTCTCTATCTCTCTCACACGCGCAGGTCCGAGAAGGGCAGCTGGGGCTTTGCTGTCTTCCTACAGGGCAGAAACCACGGTAATGATCTTGGGGGATTTTTGCAGCATCGTTTTGTCGACCCCCACCCACACATACGATAACTACGTTACATTTTTAACAAAAGGAAGCCTTAGATGACAAAGCTTTGTAGTGGTTATTTAAGCAAACTCTATGTAGATGGTGCCTCAAACCCCTTTATCCACCAGCCAGTTGCCTTTGTAATATAAACCTTATTAGGCAGCTCATTTGCATCTGTATTGTCACAAATCAGTATATCCGACCAAATAAGTGGATTTGTGTATGTAAGGATTTGAGAAACCATCTATAGAGGGCTTATTACGTAGCCACCACAAAGCTCTCGATTTAATCCATCTAAGCCCTATACACTTCATTATTTTCTCCTTTTCTTTTTAAGACTTAATCTTTTGAATATTGTTTATAGCCTTGTATTATTAGCCCACATGCGAGCTGCATGCTTGTGGTACCATGTAACCTGAATGAACCAGACATCTACACTCACCAGCCACCTTATTAGAAACACACTACCTTGTAGTGGGGGTTAGTTTCACCACTTTTGGTTGGATATTTTCAGGGGACCACTTTCTGCATAGCTGTGGCGCTGATGTGGGTAGAAACCCCAGTAACACAACTGTGCCTGATAGACTTGTGTAAGTGCCACACCTTTACCATGTTAGTGTCACTGCTGTGTTGCGAATGATTTACCAACCTCATAATATCTGGTCAATATCAGTTCTGTGGTCAGAAACTGACCAGTGGAGTAGAGGGTGACCAACAAATTGATGAGCTACAGTGTGTACAGTGGGCGATGTAAACCATCCAATGAAGTGGACAGTGAGTGTCATTTACAGTTCAGCATCCTTCTTGTATAGAAACACTGTGTTCTTCAGTCTTCAACTTCAGATATTTGGTCTTAACTATGTCTTGGTCAGATTAACCATTAAACAAAGCTGAAGCCTATTGGTTAACCCATAAGGTGTTCTTCCCCGTCTTGGTGACATCAAAAGTGGTTAAGACCCCATAGTCATATTCACATGATCTAGAACGAAGGAAGAACTCATCATGTTGGATCACTTGTCTGCTGCTTCTAGTCTTCTTACTGTATTGTAGATTTTGTATGTATACATGAGCTATAGATGTCAAGTATTACTAAAGCTGTTAAAACTAAGACATTTGAGGGTGTGATGAATCTGAATTTGAGTGAATATTTTGCATGTAGAAATGACCACTTTATTAGAAACAACTGCCTTGTGCTTCCGCTCACTGGCTGCTTTATGAGGTCTACCCATCCTACAGGTCCACCGTACAGGTGTACAGTTACAAACTGTTGGCCATCTGTTGTCATGCACATCTGTCACCCTCTGCCTTATTAATCATTGGTCAGTGTCTGACCACAAGACAAGATATTATTCGGGTGGTGGACCATTTCAGCACAGTTTAGACAGTTGCTGTACTGTAGGTTCAGTATGATGAACATGACTCATTCTGAAATAGAGAGCTATGATGCAAGACCAAGCCCAAAAGGCAGGGAGATCTTTTGCGTTTCAGTGTTATTTACCATTCTTGCGTTTCTGCACTGGAGTGAAGAGAGATTGCGAGACCAAATCAGCAGCGAGCTGTTTGCATTTGTGTGTTATTTACCACTTTTTTCTGCATCAATGGGAATTCATTTCTGCCCTGTCCAAAGCATGGGGCATCTCTCTGTGTAATCTAACGTGGAGGAGGTGAAAGCCGGCAGTCAACTGCAGTGGCCCTGACCCGTTTCAGGGTAAAATCACAGTGAAATCACTTAGCGTGACTCATTTGTAATAGATGAGAATGCATAGGAGGAGATAAAACGGAAGATAGGATGGTAAGAGAGAAAGTGAGAGAAGAAAGGCTGCCTTTTTTGTAAGCTATTCACTTAGAAGCAGACTTGCATGCTTGCACTGAGCAAGACTGCAGTGGCTGCCTGACAACTGAGCCATTGTCTCACTCACCAATAAAACAGCGTCTACGCTGATGTGTAGATATGTGTGCATGTTGCATTATCTTCCATCCTTAAACCTGCTTTAATTAATCAGTAAACAACTACCTACCCTAGAAAAGCATGAAGAAATGACTGTATGTGCACGCTGTTAATTTTATTACCTACCTTGTACTTCCACTGACAAGTCCATGTACCTTATTGGTCCATTTCATAGGTGTACCATTACAGGCTGTAGGCCATCTGTGTTGCACAATCTGTCAATCACCCTCTACCCCATTCTTCATTGCTCAGTTTCTGACCAGAGGACCGCTGTTGACCAGAATTGTTTTGTTTGGTGGACCGTTCTCAGCACAGCAATAACATGGCAATGGCATAGTAGTGTGTGTGTCGCTGGTACGAGTGTATAAGGTATAGTGTTGTTGGGGTTTTTATACATGTCAATGTCACTGGTAGGTTGAGAGTGATCCAGTGCCCAAAAATATCCAGCCAAGAGTGGCTCTGTGGTCAGAAAGTGACCACTGATGAAGGGTTCGATGATGGCTAACACAATTTGTGCATCAACACAGTCTATAGGAAACAGTGTCTGACTGTACACCAGCAAGGGGAAGCTAGAAGACAGGGTTACTAACCCACATAAATGTGGCCTATGAGATGTTTCCAATAAAATGGGCCATCTTTTTACTTTTTTACTTTTACTTTTTACCTGTTTTTTTAATTATGGAACAGTGCAACGAATGAAAGAGTAACAATAACAAAAAACACTTTGTGACGTGTAAGAATAATTTGGTGTGAATGGCTGTTCAGAGTTCACAAAGAGTCAATTGTGCACCTATCGCGTTACACTGTGGTATCAAGTGCCGGTGGTGAAACCAGAAACTGTCTTTAATGTCGCCAACTTAATTGAAAAGGCTGAGCTGACACACCTAGTCCTACTGGATTTACAGACATCCAAAGGGATTATCAGGGGTATAAGTGTTCTTCTTGGCCATTTTGTTCAGATTTTCTTACTATTATTCCCAAACAACCTCTGAAATTTGCTGGTATTAACTTTATTGGATTGCATTTAAAAAGACTCAGAATGTGGCCTTGATATTTGCCTTGATACAAAACATAAAAAAAGCAAATGACAAAAATATGTTTACTAAACTCAAGATTCATCTGCTCCGAAATGATACAACTGTTTTTTTTTGCATGTTTTTTTTCTGCATTTATTGGCACAGTTACAGGACAACAATTCTGTCCTCAGGTTTGTAAATCTGTACTTGGAATAGAGATGATGCAGTGTGAAAGAAGGCCTATTTTGATATCAGTAAACAAGGTTATAATGTTTTTCAGTATTACTGTGGTATTGTTAAAAATGTTCGATAAAAACACACTGTATATTGCCTGATGCTTTGCAGGGAGAGAGTCACAGTAGGCTATATACTTGCACCAGGACTTTGAAAAGACAAAAAATTTACACAGCTACATGAATTAAAATCTGAAATTGTATAATTATCATTGGGTACATCATTAAAAACAGTAACTTTCTGTTTTTCCATTCTTAACTGTAAACATTTTTGGTTGACCCCATTATATTTTTAAAGTAATGACAGACACGTTCATAATTTTAAGGTGCTTAAAATCGATTATTTCGATTAAATAATAAATCAGATAGTTCATATCTATGTTACGCATAGCATGAAGTGCATTTAGACCCCTTTGGACTTCAGTACTTGTAGCATCGTGTGAAGGAGCTGTAGATGATACGGTCTATCCATCTACGAAACCTGGACACGGCCGCGTACACTCCTGGAAACTTGGCATCACCGCAGCCGTTGCCCCAGGAGACCAGGCCATAGACCCGCCCGTCACACACCAGTGGCCCCCCAGAATCGCCCTGGAAAAACAAAACACCACACCCTGCTAAAGACCAGGCTAACATGACAGCAGCCTCGTCAGCTAATGAATCAAAGCTCAGTTGGGAGATACAGTGGACAGTGGCCCTTGGTTTGAATGAGGGGTCATAAATCACTGGAATCAACTGGACAAGTATATAATTTAGTGAGCCACATGCACAGAGCCATCAAACACAGGAATAATTCAGCAAAAAAATCTAATTTACACAATTTTCCCTAAACTTACCCAAAATGTAGTTGATCAGCTAAGACACATTTGTTGTCCTTTAGGTTTGTACTTCAGCTAAAAGGCTAATGTTGCTAACCAGTTTATACCCAATTAGTATTATGCAAAGTGCATGCATAGACTTGCTTATGGGATTTCTGACACTGTATGACATATTATCATCTCTAAAAAGGGACAAAGTACAATGTATAGGTAAAAAAGTAGTAACACACATTGAAGCCTAAATTGTGTCCATGTTTTTGTCTGTTTTTGAACAACATACATGCTTGGCGAACCAACTGGGAGAGCTTCTGGTTTAAATTAGATTTTTTGCTGTACTATACTTTTAATCTCCTGGTTAGGTGTGTCAGTGCTTGAACAAATTAAACGGTTTGGAAAAGCAAATCCAAGCAGTAGTGAACAGAAGTTTTCTTCTTTCACCAAATAACATGCTGGATTAAATGTGTAAAATTGCATCTGATCTAAAGATGCCAATTCAGCTGCTTCACTAATCAATTCTACTAATGTTCAATGAAATCTGTACATATTTTGGCCAGTATCGGGGTAAAATCAAATATAAAAATCCCTACAGAACCCCTTGGTTTATTGTTTTCGTCCATATTCCTCTACCCTGTAAGTAGCCTATCACATTTGTGCATTCAGTTGATGTTATGTTAAAAACATTCTGATATATTCTATTTAAATTTGAGATTTCATAATGCATAAAATAAAAAAGAGTAAACAGAGGCAGATCATTGAGAGGTCTGAGACATGCATCCTTACTTTGCATGCATCCTTGCCTCCAGTGCTGTAGCCTGCACAGATCATGTTGGATGTGATGTTTCCATTGAAGGACTCACTGCTGTTACACTTGGCCGTGGAGACAATGGGCAGGTTGACGGTGTGAAGTGTAGGGGGGATCTTGCCTCCGCTGTGGCTGGTGGAGCCCCAGCCTGATACCCGGCACACTCGGCCGGGCAACACACCCGTGTTCTGTGTGGGTAGAGGAGCCAGAGAGATGTACCTGTTCAGCTCTATTGGAGCCCGCAGCTAAAGCAAGCACACATAGAGTAGAGATTAGAGCTGGACAGCTGGCTTATTCTCAGGCCTTTAATCACCGCATCCTTCTGGTTATGACTCAAGGTAATATTTACTCTGGCAGGAGTGTTGATTTAAGTAATACATCGACAGTTGGTCATACAGCTCAAGCTGCTGCTTCGTTTTCCGATGTATGTGCCAGTATACAGCTAGAATTATTTTCACAGCTGATGTGGTGGCTCTTATGCGCCTACATATGAAAATTACTTTCAATGAATAAGAAATATAAAGATATCATTTGTTATATCTCAACCAAGCTGAAGGTCTCAAGGCATGCCACTCAACAGACCTATAACCTTGATGTTTACATGAACTATTATTACATTGGCTATTTAAGATTTTAAAACGATAAGTAATGAATATATCATGTTGCAGGTTGTGAAGTATCTGTCTGAAAGCAGTCATCGTGGAAGAGATGTGTTATGAATAAGAGTCTGTGTAGTGTTGATGGCTAACTGGTATGTCTGCAGAAGTTTGAACCCCCTGTTCAAATCAGTTAACACATTATTTACAGGGAACAAATCTAAATATGGCATTTTTCTGCTAATTTTACTGTGCAGTTTTTTTTCCCAGTTTGGAAAAAATTTAAATATACAGTATAAAAAGTGCCTTTTGCACAGGCCACGGTTTATGTTTAACGTTTTTATCCCTACTATGTTAAATTAAACAAATAAACAGTAATTGTGCATTTAAATGTAAATGTAAATGTAACTGTAAGTGTGTTCTCTGTAGAAGATGTGTATTTCTTTTCAGTTGGAAAATCAACAAAATATGTCATTTGAGCAGGGGTGCGTAAACTTTTGCACACAGTTGTATGTTGTTAAGTTGTTGTTAAGTTGGATCTTTCTGTGAGTTAAGGGTGTACAATTATGTCAGCTGGCCCAGTTACTGCAAGCCCCCCTACACCATGGGCCGCAGTGCTATTACCCCGTCTTCCCTCCCCAGTAGTTACACCACTGCACTGTTGAAATGTATTACATACAGTTAAAAGAATATTTCAGCAAAAAAAATCTAATTTACACTGTTTTCGCCTTACGCCAAATGTAGTCAATCAGCCAAGACATGGTTGGTGGCTGACGTTTGCTTCTTTAGTTTTGCCCTGGAGCTACGAGGCTAATGAAGCTAAAAAGCAATGGAAGTTTGCCTCATCAATTAGCGTTGTGTAAACTACATGAGTAAATTATCACAAACTGCCTCAAACAACACTGAAACGTTAAGTTATCTTAACTCTATGACATACTGTTACTTATGGGAATGGATAAAAATATGTAGAGTAGCTAAACAAACAGTTGTTGTCTGGAAGTCTGGAAATTTTGTCTGGCTTCCCTAAAGGGGAAGTCTTTCAGATAATATAGCCATTTTATTTACTATCAAAAACCATCAGTGAACCTACACGTGTCTTCCGAGTTTATATATGTAATGTTCATGATGGTAAAATAATAGTCAACCTGAAAAAATAATAGTCAACCTTTTAGCCAACTGTGTCTGAACACATTGGAATTAGACCTCCGCATTTAACCCATCCATGCAGTGAAACACATACACACTAGTGAACACACACACACTAGGGGGCAGTGAGCACAACCTATGCTGGTTTTGCGGGCGACCAGCCATGCTACAAAGCTAAACTTTTGGATCCTGAAGTAAACATATCTTTGGCACATATGGGATAAGTGGAAAACTGTGTCAATGTGATTTTATACCAAACTGTTCTTTTAACATTAAATGATGATATCATTGTATTTAACCTCTAAATAAAAACAAATGCTTAATGACTTGTACCTTAATGAGCATGATGTCTGCATTATTGGTGGTCTTGTTGTACAGGGGGTGAGGTAAGAGCAAGTGTGGTTTAGAATACTGCTCCGTCCCTTCGTAGACACCAAGAGCATAGTCTCCAGCCACTATCATCATCTGATCCACCCTGAGAGGAAGACATATGCATCTTATTCATGATAAATAAGCATCATGTCACATATTAAACGCACTACAGGCCAGGGACATTCTATTCAGATTCTATAGACTTTCTGCCCTCGTTTGATACCTAAGAGTGAAATTTGATTGCAGAGCGAGTGATCAGATGTAAAAACTGTAGTAGGACCGGGTTTGGATTCATTTACTACATTTTATAACCTCTTGATAGACTAATCCCTCCAAAACATTCTAAAGTTCTTGGCAAAAAATCAAATGTATGCTATATATAAATGTAGTCAGCTGAGACATGGTTGATGCCCAGAGTTTGCTTCCTCAATTTTGCACCACAGCTCTACATGTCTCAACATGTCTGTTCTTAAATAGACTTGCTTATGTGGCTCCCAACAATGTATGACATACTGTTATTTTTTTTAAAAATCACAAAAGTACATTCCATAGTTAAACAGCAGGGATGTAATGATACACATATTCAAGTTTGTTATGATTTTAAGTATTAAAAATGTCTTGATTCTGCAGAGCTATAATTATATATCGGACAGATTATTTCAGTTCAAAACAAAACATTGCAAGGAGCATATATCCGTGTGCAAAACAGTGATCTTATAAAACACTGCACATGAACGGAGTAATAAACAATAGAAAACCTGAGCATGCTTCCTTTTTCCAGGTCCTAAATTTGAAATAGAAAATATCAGAGAAGCATATTGAGAATATATGCAAATCCTAAACTGAGGCACTAAGCACTGAAGTCAGTGTGAATCAGAGAGCATAACGTAGTTTCCCTCTATACTGTGACATATTTCTATTAGAGTCAGCTGAGCATTTTCATATTGATTAATATTATTTCTCCCCGCTGCTGGTCCACAATGATGCAATCAAAAGTCATTACATTGTCAAGAAAAATTACAGGAAAAAAACAAATTTGTCTTTTGAATGACATGAGATAATAAATCAACACGTGATGATTTAGGCATACTGTATAAGTACAGTCATATGCAAATTTTTGGGCACTCCTGGTTAAATGTCACATTTTTGTTGATTTTCTAAGTAAAAATAACACATCCTCTACAGAGAACACACTTTAATACACAATTATTGTTTATTTGCTGAATTTAACATATTTGGAAAAAAAAAACTGTGAAAATGTGGTTGTTACGACACAGTTTATACTTTTGTTTTCACTATGTTAAGCAAAGCAAATAGATAGACAGAACTTCAGAACTGAAATTTGCAGATGAATGCAACATGCAAGGGGGAATTCCATCAATTTTTCAAAATTTCTGGACAATTCTTTGTTGCAATGTAAGCAAAGTTATTCAGAGTGGTTTGACGTCAAATGATTCACTGTGTAGACACTTATTAACTGATTTTTCTCTACAGTGGTGGTGATAGAAACCAGGCATCAAAGTGTCTACAATGCAAATGTAGCCATTTTGTATTCACTATCCAAAATTACCTGTGAACCTACACATTTTCACCTGCAATGCTGACATGGTAAAATAGTAGTAAATCTGAAAAAGAAAAAAAATGTCTTTGGGGACTGTTTTGTGATACAGTGCCATGCATGTACCTGTCTGTTGTGAATGGTTTTTAAAAAGTACATTTTGGCCAAAAGCATATCTCAAAGTTGTTGTAAAACAATTTCTCAAGCATCAGGCAATATATTCATAACCATTTCATGTAATAGCTTTCTGTCAGGGAGCTTTTAGAGGCATCGAATGTTTCAGATGTCTGGTTCCAATCACCACCACTGTGAACAATTCTGACACAGAGAGTTTCTCTAAAACAGAGCATTTCATATCAAACTATTCTGACTGACTTTGTTTACATCGTGACCATTTAATTATCAGACATTTTGAAAAATCAGTGGAATTCCCCTTTAAGTTTGTTCCCTGTAGAGCTGTAGAGTGTTAACTTATTTTCACATGTAATTTGACCAGGGGAGTTCACTCCTTCAGCATGAATTGGTGAGGTTAAACTGCTGGATATTTGTAAAGCATTAGTTTTTGGGACAAAATAAAGCAGTGAATTCAATAATGCTGTTTTTGCAGCTTAATTTTCATATATGGACTGTTTTGAAACTTTAACAATGTTTACGCACTACATCAAATTTCAAAAAAAGTGAAGAAAATTCAATTTTTTAAATTTTCCCTAATATGGGCCCTCTAATCTCTTTAGCATCTCTTAATTAAAAAATGTTGCAATAGTAGAAAGACCACAGGTTTTGCCTTTTTGCTGCATTTACATACAATGTCTGTCTTGTTTCCTAGCACACTTCTATAATTGTGCATTTTGCTGAAGTATCAGATCCCTTCATGCATCAGGATTCCTTCACAGACACAAAGGCCCTGTGTTTGAGGTGCAAAGCAGTATTCATAACTGTAGATTAGCATTACTGTGAAATCCTGTAATGACAAGTCAAGGTTACCCTCCTTATGGTGTGTCCGTATCCCCCGTTTTCTGGCTTCCGCCTCACCCACAGGCTGGCAGAGAGACCAGAAGCTCAGCTTCTGTCCTGAGTGTGCTGTTATTCACACAAACAGATAAAATGGATGGAAATAATGTGCTCAGGAAAGAAGCGTAAAAAGAGAACTCACCCCATATTACAGTGTGCAGCAGTGAGCACCCAGTATTTATGCACCAGAGATCCTCCGCAGAAGTGTTGGCCTTTGGAGCTTTGCAAAGATACAATGTATTTAACTGAGTTTGGTGAAGGAGCATAGCCACCAACTATTCGAGCTTGAATAAAGTCCTGACCTGGTAAGAGAAAAGGACAAAACATCACCACTAAAACAGCTTTTAGTAGTCTTAACAATTAACCTTTGTTCAGTCAATCTGCAAAAATTAAACAATTAGATAAAGTACGTTTATGTGGGGGGGTAGCTTCTCCCTTTGATTTCTTTAAATGTTGAAATGTTGGGGGTCAGCTTTTCAACAGTGTTCCACTAAGCGCTGATAGCTACTAAAAGTTGAAAAACATTGTATTTAACATTATATATATATATATATATATATATATATATATATATATATATATATATATATATATATATGTCACTGCTGTCGGTAGAAAACCTTGTATCTCCTCGTTTGTCGTTTTTCAGTTTTTGACATAATTTGAAAATACCTGTTGCTCTTTATATTGTGTGTAAATTTCATTAAGGAATGGACCAAAATATATGGCCCAAAATGACTTGGAAAAAAATCTGGTTCCATTGACTTACATTAAAAGTAAAGTAGGTTTTTTTCCTTTTCCTGTAAAGTTATCATTTTGGAGATACAATGTTTTCCAACAACAGTGATATGTGTGTTAGATCATTCTACTGAATTGGTTCAAAGTTACAGTTCAAGACCCTGTAACAAAACACTATTTTTAACTGACTTGGAATTTATACCTTAATTATCAATATTTTATTAAAATAAATGATTGACCATTCAATTTTGTCTCTACCAAGTCAATAATAACTCTACTGAAACATTCCCAAATGTTTCTGTAGTGACTTTTCCCATAGTGACAATTTTAGTTCATTTTGAGTAGAACTCAGGGACACAGATTCAGTCTCACTTCCTGCTCTAAAATGCAGGGGTGTGGCTAAAATATGGCTCCACCGACAGACTAAAACTCTGTGAATTTTTTTCAATTAAACTCATAATAAATCTAAATCTTTCAAAATCAAAAAGAACTTTTATGTAAACAACATTGGACAATTTTCACAAGTTGAAGGGTTAGGGTTTAGGGCAGACACTTTTCAAGAGAAAGTAGCCTATAAATGATTATTTTGCATATATTTAGCTCATTACTATATCTAAATTAAAAGTTTAAATTGTTCATAACATCATTATTTTTAAATATCTTTTTACTGTGGGATTAATACAGTAGAGTGGTCCATATGTAAAGATATTCTATTGAAAAGCTTCCTAGTTCAAAGTATTTTGAAAATCCTGAAAGGGTGTGTATGGTTTATTACTGTTTGGTTAACCCATTTGATTCAACTGGTCAGAGATGTGACCTAAATGTTGTTTTGAGTTTAAAACCTCAAAAACACTTGTTGATGTGCTTAATACCGAACAATAAACTACAGTACTTAGAATACTACATAAACAACAACTGACATAGCTCAACAATACAACACACGAGCAATAAATCAAGAACACGAAAAGGAAATAAATGCAAACAAGACAGCAAACACAAACCAAACACAGGATACACAGTTATCAACAGAAGCCATATGTAGGACAAAAAACAATTCTGTGAAGAAACGTGATGACTGAACAGGCCAAGTACAAAACATGAAAACAGAAGTGCACGTCATGGTCCCTCTCCGTGAGAACTGAAAGCTTCATACTGTCTCTTGACCCATGCAGGTCAACCTGGGTAATCCTATACAGGCCAAACGTATGTAGGTAAACCTTACAGAGAAGCTGGAAACAAATAACAGCTCTGCTGACAATGTTGTTCAACAATAAGTTACACTCTCCATCTAATCACTGTAGTGTCACATTGTGCAGTCCATGTACAGATGGAAGGATAAAGCACACAGCATACAAATACTTTTAAAACAAACGTGTGAAAAAACATGAAGAATTTTTTATTATTATTCATGTGTCCGCTCAAAGGGGAATTTCACAATTTATCAAAATGAGTGTATAATTAAATTGTTTTGAAGTAAACAGTCATTTAAAGTGGTTTTATGCAAAATGAGTCGTTTTAGAGAAACTTACTGAGTCAGAATCGGTCACAGAGATGGTGATAGGTACCAGCCTCTAAAAGCCTCTATATATATATGGTGTATAACCATTTTCATATAATATAATATGTTTTCTGCTTCATTTCTGAAGCTGAAAAATGAATAATTTGTACTTAATGGCTGTTTTGACTAGAAATTAAATAAATTAAGAGGGTCTCTTATTTTGGTATGTGCTGTCTTTGGTGGCCTGATAAAATGTGTTACTGGGAAATTCCACTGTTTTTTCTGCATATTCAAATCGTTAAAACATAAACAAAGTGATTCAGAGAGGCTTGACGTGAAATGCGCTGTTCATAAAAAAACACACAGTTAGATATGTTGAATGCAGTGGTGATAAGAATGAGCCAAACAAAGCCAAACAAAGTGTTTAATGCCCCTAAAAGCTATTACATGAAATACACTGTTACTAATACACTGTGAAACTGAGAAACTCTAAATGTGTAGTCACAACCCCTGTGTGACCACTATTATAAAGAAATCTGAGCTGCTAAGTTTTATCTGTAATGCACCATTTCATATCAAACCACTCTGAATGGCTTTGTTTACATTTCCGTGAATTCTACAGAAAATTAGCAATAATTAGCAATAACACTAACATGAGTTGTTATTGAACTTCTTGTTTTTGAGAATATTATATTTTGAAATACTGCTTTAAAGAAAGCTTAAAGACAGAACACATCCACGGTAGTTCTATGACTTACATAGAACAAAGCAAGCATGTTTAAGCTGATTGGAAATCTACTTACAGTCAGCTGCAAAAAGCTTCAGGAGCACCAGGATCCAAAACACTGGACAAGCCATGATGGGGATGGAGGCTATGGGACAGTAAATGTTTTTTCAGCTATACTTTGCTAAATCCCTCCTCATCACTATGAGGAAACTACATCAGCAACTGTCCTCAAGTTTCTGATTCCAGTTTCCACTGGCAGAATTTCAGACAGGCAACAATTCATGATTCAGAGGGGTAAAAACTGCATTCAACACAGCTCTCCTCTTTGACCCTGCAGCAAGATATAATGCTTTATTGTTGGCAAATTAGACTCCATGTCCAACCCAAAGACCAGGCTTTTCAGTACAATACTGACACAGTGTTGGTTGCTCTGAGATCTCTAATAACTGTGTATACAGTTGGGAGTTTATTAGATACACTTGTTGGCAAATTTATTAGAAACGCTTACCATATAAAGATGGGTGACAAATTAAAATAAAAGACCTGAACAGATGACTGGAGAAACCTAATGAGTGCAGATGCTACCAGACAGGTGTATAGCATGATACAATTCAGCAACCACCATCCTACCTCAATAGCATGAATAAAAATACTGAGCAGACAAGTGGACCTTAATTTGGGATCAAGATCGCAAGTAGCCATTAATTGGGGCATGGATGCCAGGAGACTGTGAAACTGGCTAGTGATTCAATAGGACCAGTGATAAAAATGACAACCAGTTACTTCATTTTGTACATCTCCTTGTCTCCACATTCATAGTACATTCTATCAGCTCCACTTACCATACAGGTGCATTTTGTAGTTTTACAATTACAGTCCATCTGTTTCTCTGCATACTTTGTTAGCACTTTTTATTACCCAGGACCACCACAGGACCCTCACGGAGCAGGTATTATTTGAGTGGTGGATCATTCTCAGCACTGCAGTGACACTGACTTGGTGGTGGTGTGTTAGAGTGTGTTGTGCTGGTACAAGTGGATCAGACACAGCAGTGCTGCTGAAGTTCTTAAATACTTCAGTGTCACTGATGGACTGAGAATAGTCCACCAACCACAAATATCCCACCAAGAGTGTCCTGTGGGCAGCGTCCTGTGACCACTGATGAAGGACTAGAGGATGACCGACACAAACTGTGCAGCTGCAGGTGAGATATTGTCTCTGACTTTACATCTACAAGGTAGGTGTGTCTAATAGAGTGGACAGTGGGTGGACACAGTGTTTAAAAACTCCAGCAGCACTGTTACTCTGATATGTGTTTCATTGAACCCTCACTGAGGTAACTTAGGATTTTACTTGTTTATGAGCCAAGTTATGAACCACAGCTTTTGTTTAGTGTTATGAGTTGCTGTGAAATCAATCTGTGTGGAGCAGGCAAAATTTTACTATGCCATTCTAAAACCTCAAATATAGTACTTGTATAATGTTGAACGCCATAGTAAAATGAAAATGCAACATTAGCATGCTAACAAGGCTTTCAGGCACTCCTCGTTTTTGCTGTATTAAAAAAAGGACTGACGTTAACAATTGTGTTATTCATTTAATGAAAGAAAAGGAGCTGTAGGGCAATTTCGCTCAAGTTGCCACGCCACACGTGTTCAATCTGACATGATTTTGGTCTCTTTGTGCTGCCGTGACTTCTGTTGTTTGCTGCCTGGGTCGCAACACTGCTCAAAAAGAGACATCCTGTACTGGTGTAGCTGTCCGCCCCAGGGAAAACGCAGAACAATGCGGTATAATGTGCACTTAGTCTAAAGCACTCCTTAGAGAGGTCAGCAGAGATAGGATAACCACGGAGATATGGGCGCGGAGAGATTATTAGCCGCTAATGCAGTGCGAACCCGTCAAACCTCTGCAGTAGGCAGTCGTATTTGATTGGACACAGCGGGTCAATCAGACAGACAGAGTTGGCTCAGCTAATTCGGACTGGTATCTCTGAAAAGATGTCAAATGGGATTACAAATTAGAACAGCACTGCATTTAATGGAATGTGTTCATTTACCTACACCTAGTGCCTTTTCCAACTAACTTCAACAAAACAGTACTGACATAAACAAATGAGCTTGATATGTTGGCTTTTTATGGTCTATGAGTATCTAATCAAACAAATGAGCTTAAGGTACTCTTTCAGAATAAGAAATCAAACTAATGAGCCTGATGTATATGATTTAAAGGCCTACTGTCTATGAATATTGCATCAGTGTCTTTCACAAATTAATGGGAGGCCTTCGTGCCTATTGAAAAAAATGAGTCCACCACAGCTATTGAAATGTGTTGGGCAGGGCTGAGTCACTTCTCGCTATTGTCTCTGTCCATGTCGAAGACACAAAACACACAAACAAGCCATCATACCTGGGGGACAGATGTGGTTACAGTATAAAAAGCAATAGAAGGTTTCCCAGGGTCACCAATGCTGGAGCACACCTGTTATCGCTGACCTGCTCTGCGCTTGAGAAGTGAGTACTATCATTATAAAGGTTATTATAAAGTAATTATTTTTACAAAACAATTGAGAAAGGATACATCTAACAGGTACACTCTGAAAAATAAAGGTGCCAAAAAGAGGTTTTTGGAACGATGCCATAGAAGAACAATTTTGGGTTCTCCAAAGAACCTTTCAGTGGATGGTTTTTCAGTGGATAGTGGACGATTTTTGTAAATAAGATGTATGAAAAACCTTTTTAAATTTTAAAGAGCCTCCACATAATGTAACGTTTCTTTGCCAGTTTAAGGGTTCTTCCTAGAACTGTGCGTCCCAGCCAGGACCCAATTAGGAACCTTTATTTTTAATGAAATCAATGAAACCAGATCTTGTTAATATCTTCTTAATATTCTTCTTAAAAAAGTTATCTAATGTTCTACTATTTTATTCCTCTGCAAAGCTCTGGTTGACATCCTTTAACATCTGAATGTACAAAACTCTCTTTCAGATTTTTTAAACATGAAGAAATGTGTTGAATATGCACTGCTTCTCATCATTTTCATTATTCAAGGTAAAGTTTCTCAACTCCGGCTTTACATTATGCAGTGTTAGCAAAAAGGGTTCTATATAGTACCAAAAAGGTTCTCGGACACTAGTAGAAAGTGTGTTGGTGCTACATACAATGACCTTTTAAAAGGTCCTTAAAAATGTCATATACATGAGCACAGTCTTTTTAGTAGCATCTATCAGCATGGGAACTGAAGTGTGTTAGTTACTATTATTTCTTTTTGGGCTCCTTTTAGTCTAATATAAAATACTAAACTTTAAAAGTGATAAATGTGAACAAAAGCAAAGCAGCACATGAGCTGAATCAACAGAAAAGAAGGAAATTAATGAGAATAAAGGAATTAAAAAGTAGCTCTCTTTCCTCACAAATATACTTCAGAAGTAAAGGTATTATCATTGAAAATGATCATCATCTTTGCATAATTTAGTCATGACGATGTAAACAAAGTCATTCAGAATAGTTTGATGTGAAATGTGGTACTCTAGTGAAGTCACTGAGTCAGAGCTGTTCACAGTGGTGGTGATAGGAATAAGACATCTGAATGGTTTGATGCCTCAAAATGTATTTCTTTAAATGTATTCAGGGTGGAGAGGTACATGCAGGGTGTCATTAGGCAAAATAGTCACCTAAGAAAACATTCACCTCTTTTTTTTAACCATTATTAACATTACATTTTAAAAATTCAGTGTATATTCACTTCAGATAACTTGATTTTATACACCAAATAAAATGGCTACATTTGCGATGTAGACATTGTGACCCCTGGTTCCTATCATCACCACTGTAAATCTGAGTCAGTATGTATCTCTATAACACATTAAACACTGAAGGGCTTAGTTTACATTTCAACGATTGAATTATGTTGAAATTTTCAAAAATCGATGGAACTGCCCTTTAAGTATGTAACTATTTACTGTCCACCTCTGGTAGAACATGCTGTGCATGGAGCCTAATGGCACATGAATGAAGAAATAAACCAAATCATTTTCACGCTGCTAGATTATACTAATTGTAATCAGTATTTGATGTTATTAGAAGGTAGAATTGAACATAGACAAAACAAAATTTACCATATATCATTTTTTTTATTTGCCCAGGTTCTCTACAGCAAAGAATCATTGGAGGACAAGAGGTTGAGCCCTATTCTATTAAGTACCAGGCCTCCATACAGTACAACAACAACCACTACTGCGGAGGAACGCTCATAAACGCACAGTGGGTGGTGTCTGCTGCCCACTGTTGGAAGCCGTGAGTACCGCAGTCATGTCACTTCAGCTTTATTACAGCTGAGTTGCAATTTGTGTTGATTTTCTTCCCCCTGCCTAGATCTTGGCATTAACCTTTATAAGCAAAGTCTCCAAAACAGGTCTCAGATCAGACTAAGTGTGTCTAACTAAGTGAGAGGGCTTTCATTTACTATTTAGAATGATCTGCGCATAATATTTGGCTCAGTTGTCTTATTGTGATATGGATGGTATCTGAGCACGGTTTGATTTATTAGTTTTATTAATTTACTTATTTATTTACATGTGAGTTTATGGGTTGTTGCATTTTTTTACCATACAAGCTAACTCAGGGTATAAATTTGGTATTTTTGTATTTTAAATATCTACATTTCTTTTGTATGAACCCAAATAACCCAAATAATGCTTTTTAAAGTGAACTATGATAATTACAATAAACTCAATAAATAAAACAAAAGAGAAAAGTATCCAGCTAAAAATCTACTCCTTCATCCCACAGAAACTATTTGATCAAAGTTGTGCTGGCCGAGCATGATCTGTCCAAGAAAGAGGGAGTCGAGCAGGTGTTCAATGTCTCCAGAACGCTGGTCTACTACCTCTACAACTACAGGACATTTGACAACGACATCATGCTCCTGAAAGTTAGTTAAACCAACAGTGTTTATTTTATTTATTCTTCTGGTGGCCTAGACCAGTGTTTCCCAAAGCCTGGTCCTGGAGACCCCCGGTCCTGTGCAAATTTAGCACTTCCCTGCTTCAGCATGTTTACTTCAATTCAGTAGGGGATACAGTCCTATGCAAAAGTTTGCACACCCCCGGTCAAATGACACATTTTGAGTTAACACATCCTCCAAACAAACTTAAATATTACATTTTTCTGCAGAGTGTAACATATTTTACATTTACAACATTTGGCAGACGCTCGACTTACAATTTGATCATTTTACACAGGCAGGCGAAGGTAGTGTCAGGAGTCTTGCCCAAGGACGCTTATTGGTATTGTGTAGGGTGCTTACCCAGGTGGGGATTGAACCCCAGTCTACAGTGTAAAAGGCAGAGATGTTACCCACTACACTATACCAACCACTATATAAAATAAAATATAAAATATGTCGTAACTTTTGCACAGGCCACATTTCACCATGTTAAATTCAGCAAGTAAACACTAAATGTAAATATTATATATGAATTCTGTAGAAGATGCATACGAATTTTCACTTTGTGTTGTCATTTGACTAGGTGCACCCAAATTTTGCTTCTGACTGTACATTGGGAGCAAAGAAAAACACTAAAATGTGCAGAGCAGTGGCGCCTTCAGGACCTGGCTTTGGTAATACTGGCCTAGACAAAAACAAAAATGTTCCTGTGACAAAGCCTGTGGGGAAATGGTACATTACGCAGTGGAGAGCAGCACTCAATCAAACATGTTTTGGTTTTTGCTAAAAAAAAAAATGTATTTGAGCAAGATTCATTTTTTATGCAGGCAACTTACATATTTCTGCTACAAATGAAAACATGAAACATGAATGTTTCCAGCACCTACTGTTTAGAAACAATTCAGCTAAAAGAAGTATGATACAACTTACTCCATAGGCGGGGTTAACTGTAACAGATGGAGGAGCTAATTGTATGATGGAAAGATGACGACAAACTGGAAATTCTGTTGTTTTTCAATCAGAGACCCTCCTGTTTTAATAGAGCTGCAATGGAAAATTCCACCACTGCTGGCAGCAATGGTCCTCTGACCACAGCAGTGAGTGGAACATCCCAACAAGAATTCAGTTTTAAGAATTGATGTACTTTTATAGTACAAAAATAATTGCTTTTAAAATTCGCAGATGACACTGGTATGACAATACAAGGCCTTGACTAAAGCCATGCTCTAGTTGAACCTGATTAACTAAATAAAATATCCATGTTATATTTTACCCCGCATAACATAATCTAGCTAGATTTGTCACTACTGAAACATGTGGTAAAGTTTTGGTAGTGTTATGATTGTTTTGTTAGTGACAAAATGGAATGTTCAATCATTTATTTTAATGTATAGGGTCACACTCAGCAGAAGGATTTTAGTCTAAAGTTCAAGTCAGTTAAAAGTCTGAAATGTGTTTTGAACAAATTCAGAAGAATGATCCATATGAGTGGTCCATATACACCACCATGCAAAAGTCTGGAGCCACTATTTACAGTAATATAAAAACGATCTGGTTGCAGAAAAGTGTATAAGATGATCTACGATCTGAGCAACTTCACAGACATTTAGTAGAAATCTGTAAAACAAAAACATAGAAATGTTAGTTGTTATCATTGTAGATGGTTCTAAAATGACTAAGAAGGCTGAAGAACATTGAGAATGAAATGAACATACAGAAAGTTATGGAATCTTGAGGAAGATAACGTGACAAAAAAAAACTATTTTGATTTTATTCCAATACACCAGAGGCTTTACAAGTTGCGTGCTTTGTAAAGACTGTCCTAAAGGTCATTGTCCTTTACTTTCTTGTGGTCAGCTTGAACGGCCAGCCGACCTGAACGCCTATGTCCAGCCAGCTGTGCTGCCAAGCTCGGACACCCTGCCGATGTACGGAGGCATGTCGTGCACGGTGAGCGGCTGGGGGGTCACACAAGTCTACAGCTACTACCTGTCCCCTGTACTCCGCGCTGTGGACGTGCAGATCATCCCAAACTGCCAATACTACTACTACTTCAGAATCACAGACAACATGGTGTGTGCCGGATCTCTGCTGGGAGGTAAAGATTCATGCCAGGTGAGTCAGAATAATCTACAAGAACTAGCATTAGAACTAGCATGTGAAACTAGAACTAGAACTAGTATGTGAAAAACGAAATCAGGACTGTGTGAAACATCAGATATGGGCCTACTAACTTCCTTTACTGGAATAAGCATGGAATGCAGATTGGATTGGGTCATCTGCAGTGGTTATGATTACAAAGTTATTAAAGTTAAAATGAAAAACAGTCCTAGAGAGCACCACATTAGACACTCAGTACCGCTTTGGTAGCATGAGTAGTTGTGATTTACTGAACTGAAATAAAAAAAAACAATTTTAACCTTAATCTTTTGTCTATAGCAATTACACAACAAAGGCATTTTTTCCTTCTATGCAGTGCAAATTCATTTTTCTACCTTTTTAACTTCTACCCATAGCGCACCTTCAGTAGATACTACCCCACTTTTAAACTCTGGGCTTCAACCCATAGTACCCAATCTACACTGCAAAAATGCTATTGGCGAGTGAATTCTTAAATCTAGTTGGATATACCAATAAATATCACTAGATGTATATATTTCTCATTTTGAGATATCATTTTTCTTGTATTTTATTTCTTTCCCAAGATCAACTTCTACCATTTGTGTGGGTTTATGTACCAAAAACAGTCATAATTCATTTTTACATGATCATTTTCCAACATTTCCTTATCCCTTAAACAGGTGTTTTTTGTCACTGTGCCTTTAAGACTCATATGTAAATAAACTCTGATTGGCTGGCTTGCACTGTGCATAACTTCAGTGTGGATGGGCGGAGCTATACTGACATAGACTACCTTCTTTTGCTTAGTGCGAACACCACCCCTGCTCCTTTGGTAGAGCCCTCTACTCTGAGTCTGATCCAACTTTTCTCTCCTCTCTTAATATTAACAAAAAAACAAGCACAAGCTAATTACAAGCAAACTTTAAGCTTCAAACTTTTATGATCACATGGTCTCCACCTCAGCTGGCCAAGCAACTGACCGTACTCTTTGTGAGGTTATGGCCACTGTGACATTTCCTTCTTTCTGATGACAGGGTGACTCCGGTGGTCCTCTTGTGTGCGACGGCAATTTTGAAGGTATCGTCTCCTGGGGCATCGGCTGTGCCAACCCCTACTTTCCTGGCGTCTACACCAAGATTCGCAACTACATCCGCTGGATCAACTGGATCATCAGCGACACCACCACCGACTAGACTGTTTGTGCTTTTTATATGTGGACAGTCGGGTGCAAAAAGGGCATGTTTTGTTGATTTTCTACCTGAAAATAAGTGCACATTCTCTGCCCATTATAATGTACAATTACTGTTTATTTGCTGAATTTAACATATTAAAGGAAAAATTACAGCAAATAAACTGAAACTGTGCTGTAAAATTTGCAGAAAATTGCCATATTTAAGTGTGTTCTCTGTAGAGGGTGTGTTAGAAAATCAACAAAACATGTTATTTGACTGGGGCTGTTCAAACCTTTGCACACGACAGTATATAATATTGTTGTCTAGAAGTGTAAATCTCTGACTTCACAGTGATTCGTTTCCATTACGATTCTTTAGGAAATGATTCAATGCATTATGAATACTCAAATTTCACCACAATTCAATTATATAATGATTCAGAATTGTTGCTAAAAATGCATTGAATACACAGATGAGACTGGAGGAACGATTTACACAGTAGTGGAATATTGACAATATAAACAGTCTAGTCAAATTACATTTGAAAATAGCCTGAGAATTTTGTTTGCCAGAAAATGAGTAAATATTTAACTGAATATCATTATATTTGATTAGCAATCATAACATTCCATTGATTAATGTGGTTGAATTGCCACCTTCAGAGTGACCAAATGCTTTTTTTTACACCCCTACTTTTGTCCATACAGTGTCCACATATCAAGTCATAAGCTATACTAACCTTTATAGTCAATTATGAGGGTCTAATTAAAAGGGGAAAAGGGGGCTTCTTTAATGTTTGTGCCAGTGGCCAAATCTTATAGCTATGGTAGTGTTTGCCCGTAATAACATGAACATGACTGGAACAAAAAAACAATCGCTTAACGGTCAGGCAGATGTTAAAGCTTACGTCAAAGGGAAAAATGTCAGTTTGTGTCGAGACTGCTGTTTGTTTTGGCCTGTGTTCAAACCGACAAGACTAAAACGCTGATGAAATGTTATTCCACCCTGCAAAAAGGGCAGTAAATGACTACGCTGTAATACCAAAAAGCATCTGGCTGCGGTATTTTCATCTAAACAAATTGGTAGTAATGAATATAACATCCCTCATTCAACTCACATCGCATTTCCTTGACAATCTTCTGCATAACGTCCTGGCGTAGGACCACACTGCAATTACAAAAACATTATATTTCCTTGCTATCACTGCAGTGGGTTCCTCCCAGGTTGTGAAAATGAGAAAACTATTATTGCATCTTTTCAGTGAAGTGGGGCTTCATCTAGTTAATCTTAAGCTATTTTTTTTTTAAGAGCAAGATGATTTCACCATGATTTCACACAAAACATCACCGTCATTGCTCAGTGACCTTTAAACACCAGCCCCCCCCACATCTCTTTCTTAGTGTAGTGGAGCGAAAGCTCACTATCTCGACTTTGACACAGAGTTATGTAATCCAGCTGCATAGAAAAGCTCTTCAAATGTGGAGAGCAGCCTGGGAGGGGTAGGTGGGCGGGTGGATGGGTGGATGTGTATGTGTGTGGGGTGGGACAGAAGATCCTAGAACCTGGGTTGGCTAAACATCAACTCAAGAGGGGTCTAAAGGGACTCAAAGTCAAAGGCGCTGAGTAAAGCTGTAGTAAAGGCACACACGTTCCACACACAGCAAAATGAGCGACCAGAAAGTGAGAGGTGAGCTGCTGAACTTGCCAAAGAAAAGCCTAAAGACGAACTCCTCTGGTGTAAAGGGCCTGATCCGGCAGTCTCTGGAGGCCAAGAGCTTCGCTTACTGCCCCTATAGCAAGTTCCGAGTAGGGGCCGCCCTGCTGACCCGTGACGGGACGGTGTTTACAGGTGAGAAGCTAGAAATTAAACCTGTTAACTCGAAACATACAAGTTGCTCTGAACTTGTTAACTCAATACACAACAGAAGCCAATGGGCACTTGCTTCAGCATCTCCCCTTTGACTTCTATTATAAGGTGTTTCTAGTCAAGAAGTTAGCTGTTCTTTTACTAAGTACTGGTAAACTTGTTGAAAGTATTGTCTGTGGGAATCAGTCGCATACAACAGATGCAGGAGATGGAGAATAGAGCAAAAAACACTAACATCCAGAGCTGATTCATTCCTACAGTGAAATCCAATTCAGTTTATCTAAAAGTATATTCAACAAAAGTAATTGCACAGCATCCACAGTAATTCCTCTCTACACGTAATCAACAGCTTCTCAACCCTGAGAGCAGTTAAATAATAATGCTATTGGTTACATAAGGAGCGTCAAGAGAGGACGGCGATGCTGCTGTAAGGGGTTTTTGATGCACTCAAGAATGTATTCATAATTTAGAAAAGCTTTACTCTTACACCTAATCTCAGTTAAGCTGGCTGTCAGTTAGAGAAGGAATGAAGAAGAGGAGCCACAACTCCCACCATTTCATGGCGAGAAACTGAAAAATCACCCCGCAGTGATGAAAAAATGTATATTTGATGTATGAGATGAGCAAGAGGTCACAAATGAGAAGAGGTTACAAATATATATATATATATATATATATATATATATATATATATATATAGATAGATAGATAGATAGATAGATAGACAGGCTTTAAACTATAAATAGATAGATAGACAGGCTTTAAACTCAGACAGCATCTCTCAGACCATGGTCATGTTTGTTTTTCATAATGTTCTGCCATGTTAATGATTAAGAGACAGTGAGCCAGTATTGTGCTTGTTTCTTTAAAAGGAAATCATTACATAAACAGTGAGTTGTTTCTGGTTGAAAGATTAAGTTTGATGTTTGCAGTTTGCTTCTTCCAATGGCAGACGCATCACAACGTCATAGGGGGCAGACAATCACAGGGACTCACATGGACAAATCAGCAAAATGACTAAAAAACTTCCACAATTGCTCAACTCTTCAGCCTTGAACTTTTAAGAGGCGTCTGATGTCAGAACTGCCTGACTCACTGTATTGTCAGCGCATGATAGAACAGAACAGTCTGTGAATCAAAGGACAAACCAATAACAAACAATATCTTTCACCACACAGGCACACGTGTGTCAAGTTCTTAAAAAAAACCCAGAAAGTAAAGCCTACATGCCTTCTGATAATACACAGCACTGTGCCAAAGTCAGAGTCTACCCTCCTTATATTAACTGTCACTCAAAATAGACATTAAGTACAAATATTCATGTACACAGAGGCCTCAACAACTAAACATAATATCACATTGTTCTGTGTTTTTCCTTTTTTTGGAAAGAACTGCTTTCAGTGATCTGTAGGGATATTTTTAAACACCTCCAAAGTTCAGTCTTAGGAGTTGGTTGCTTTTTCTGCTTCTCTCATGAAAACAAGAGTGGAGCTTTAAGTGCGGTTTATCTGATGGAGACAGATTTGGTGGTCTTCTAGGTCTTGCACGATTATTAGGAATCTCATTTTCTCTGTATCTTTTAATCATTTCTTAAACTTCAGTTTTGGAAAATCCAGTTTATTCTCCTTCCTTATGCAAGAGGATTATCTTATGTACAGTCTCCTCAGAAATATTTCCTAAAAAAAAATAATAATTTCTACTTAATGGCCATTTTGACAGGAAATTAAACAACCGTATGGTGGTCTCTGACTTTTTCACAGTGTTGTGTGTATACAGTGTATACGTTTATTATTTGCTCAGAAAGATACTAATGCTACAAGAAAAGCAAATAACATTAATACATTAATTCATGTCAGTGTGCATGTTTAATCAACCTTCGGCTAATCGATGCATAAAAAGAAAAGAAAAAAGTTATTTTTCTTATTTCTTTTTACTGTGATTATATAATTATAATGTTTTGTATATTGTTATATTAAAAAAATAACATTATTATATGGTTTTACTGGCAAATAAACAGTTACAGCCAAGATAAATGGTTTTAAACAAAGGTTAAGGTGCTTAGGTGCTAATACTTTTGCACAGTAATGTATATATGACATCAAACTAAAAATCAACATGCTGTTGTGTCCAATGTCAAAATAATCTCATTCTCACCACTGTGATAAAACAATGAGAGCAAAATATGCCACTTCAGAGTGATGAAAATGAAAGCTTTTTGATATCTGGTGCAACAGTGAGACAGTTTCTTAGTCTTTATCGAGTTCTTGTAATTTCACTGTTATTTACCAAATATGACAATGACAATTGACTTCCATTCCATTTTCTCTCAACAGGCTGCAATGTTGAAAATGCCTGTTACAACCTGGGAATCTGCGCAGAGCGGACTGCCATCTCCAAGGCCGTGTCAGAAGGCTATAAAGATTTCAAAGCTATTGCAATAGCCAGGTACAGTAGCTTTGGCTCCTACATAGAAAACAACCCATAAACAGGAGTTCACACTGAGGGTGGGCGCTGTAACAACATGTTGTTATTGTGATACATTATATCATGTATATCATGGTCTTGCTGGTACTTTTAGGGCACTAAACAACTGTTTGTGGTATAAAGATTTATACTCCAGTTACAGAAAACCTGTAGGCAACAACCAGTAAATAATAACTGCATAAACTGCATAGTAACAAGTAGCTGTTTGGATGTCAGTTCATTATGACATCATCTTATTTTAAGCAATTAATTAATGTTCTTCTAAAGTAATTCCTTTTAAATACATACATACATACATACATACATCATCTAAACCGCTTATCCTTCTGGGTCGCGGTGGGGTGCTGGAGCCTATCCCAGCTGTCATTGGGCGGAAGGCAGGATACACCCTGGACAGGTCGCCAGTCCATCACAGGGCAGACAGACACAGTCACACACACACTCACACCTAGGAGCAATTAAGCATGTCCAATCAGCCTGACTGCATGTTTTTGGACTGTGGGAGGATACCGGAGTACCCAGAGGAAGCCCACGCAGACACGGGGAGAACAGGCAAACTCCACACAGAAATGACCCTGGTCACCCGGCCGGGAATCGAACCCAGGCGACAGCGCTATCCACTGCGCCACCATGCCGCCCTCCTTTTAAATAGTTTAACTTAAATTGACAAAACATAATTCTACACTTTTTTCTCATGGCCTTCTTTAAATCTGACACTACTGTTTTTCTTCTTTGTATTTTGGTCATTCTAACTTGTTTCACATCTTGAAAATACATAAAGCGCCTAATTTATCAAAGTTGCGTAAAAAGTGCGCAGATTTGACCTACTTTGATGACGTACGAGCTACTCTGCGTCCGATTCGTGAAACGTTATAGGACGTGGAAGCAACCGCGATTTGAGCGTAAACGACGAATCAGCTTCAGTCCTACCAGCACCTCATTTACATATCATTTACATGAAGCAGGTAAGGAACCAATAAAACGTCAGCATTTAGCGGCGAACTCTAATAATAAAACGAGTACAGGCAAATTTCTGTTTTCTTATTCGTCAGTTTCATCTCTGGTGTGTCTGTACGATCAAACTCACATCTGGTAGAAATGTGTGTAATTTTGAGCATAAATAATTTTACAGCCTTAAAAAAGATGCTTTATTTTCTAACAAAGGATTAACAAAGTAAAACTATTATTAATTCTATACATAATACCAAAAATAACTATAATATTAAACATTTTTAACTCATGTTTATGCAGTTGAAAGTGGATGTACTCATTTTACATGCATACTGATAAAAAACTAATGCCGCTATTCAGTGGTTCATTTAACCACATATTACACTGTGCTTTTGTTTAGTACTACGGACACTGTCCAGTAAACAAATAATACAGGACACATTTTAGGAAAATAAAGTGGATGTCTCTGTAGCTAGCTAGCTAAATTTCCCGTTCCACCTTAAATAGTGCTGCAGTCAGCTCTGCTGCAGTTCTGCTGCTCCATTTAAGGTGGAACTTGAAATTTAGTAGCTAGCTAGAGACATCAGCATACTAGTAGTGATTTTTTTGCTTGTTATGAAGAAAAGGACCATAACACAGTGAAACAACATTAAACTAAGATAATACAATGGTTATTGTATGTTTTAACAGAGAAAATACTTACATCTGCGGGTTTTTTGCGCAGCTATCTTGCCGGTTTTTCTTTTGTTTCTTCATAAGACTCCGTTTGGAGTGTGCCTCTGAAAAACCTCCATGTGGAGGACCATGTAGCCCTAACACTTCGCCCTATCTTTCTATCTCAACAAAAATCGGGACACCTTACCCCTAGGTGTGAACGTGAAAAACAGAGGGGTAGGGCTAAGTGGCTGGGGCGAGGGGTGAAACGGGATTGGGCCTTGAAGAGTTGCATACTGGCCATCCTTAGTTAGTTAGCTACTTTACCTGTAAATAAGCCATGATTACTAAGCACCTCAGTCTGGCTCTAAGGGCTGAATGTGCAGCACTCATCCTCAACCTCACCCTCATCCATCTGCTTTGCTTTTTCAGCGACTTGTGTGAGCAGTTCATCTCCCCATGTGGAGGCTGTAGGCAGTTCATGAGAGAAGTGAGTGCTGTCAGAGGCAAAAACATCAAAAGTTCAGTTAAATATGTAAGAGTCTGTAGAGATATCTGTAATTTGTAACATTGTGCCTGTCTTGTGGTCAGTTTGGTGCCAGCTGGGACGTGTATTTGTCCAAGCCGGATGGTTCCTATGTGGAGATGACCGTTGAGGAGCTGCTGCCCGGGTCCTTCGGCCCAGACGACCTGCAGATGAAGAAGGTTCATACCCTTCCAAATGAATTTTAATGACCTCTGTGAGAAAAAGAGGGGAAATGGCAAAAATGTCAGGAGAAAAGCAACATAAAGGTGCACGTGAAGCTATACGCCACAATGGCATGGGCACCAAGCTTCTGTGCTTAAAGGGGAACTCCACCGATTTTTCAAAAGTTGATGGTTAGATATATTCTGTTTTATGATAGTTTCAGGATAAAGTTTTGGCTTAAATTGTCTTTTAATCCATTTATTTTAATCCATTCATGGCGGAGGGGTACATGCAGGCCAAAACAGCCCCCGAACAAAACTAATTTTTTTCCGATTTATGACCATTTTACCAACATTACATATACAGACGCAGAAGACTTGCATAGGTTGTCTGTAAGTTTCTGTACAATTAATCGCTTCATGTGAGACCACTCTGAATGACTCTTTAATCTAAAAGACTGAAATATTCACAAATTTCAAAAAAATGGTGGAATTCCCCTTTAACACTTGCTAAAAAATAAAGAGAAAACTGCAACTAAACAGCAACATCTTGAAAGAAGCAGTTCCTGGACTCATAAATGTTACTTTAGTGTTAAAAGCCGGTTCACATTATGAAGTATTAAGAACATACTGGTTTTGCATGTAAACATTTCAGTTTTACAATTTGTATATATAATTTCATATGTACATTTGCAATCTTATTTAAGAGACATTCTGTTGTGTATTAAATGAAATGGAGTAAAAAGCTGTTTCTCTATTTCATCAGAAAACCTGATGTAAAAAGTTCTGAGATGCTTTAAACTGGGTTAATACAGTGTATCAGTGTTTATATATTAGCACCGTGTTAGTGTTTATATACAGGCTATGCAAAAGTTTTAGGCATCTGAGAAAATGAGAACTAAACAGCTGTTTATTTGAGCAGTAAGCATTTATTTCTCAAAAAAAAAAAAAACAGTATTAGAATAAATACAAATTAAAGGGTTCATATAATGAATGAATTTTGCTCACTTTTTAAAAACATAAGAGTTTTGTGTCATTATGTCAAAGAACAGCACACTTGCATATATCTGCCTGTGTTTCAGCCTGGACTGCTTTTTGAATCGAGCACAATACAGTGCAGGCAATCAGAACAGGTCATTTGCAATATCAGTCTTGAAGGCATAATAACAAAAACAGCCTGTTTAATTCTAAAAGATAAAGAGAGGTTGGAAAATGGTCAGGTAAAAATGGATGATGACTGATTTTGGTAAAGAAAACCATAAGTGGAGCTCAGGGGAAACCATAAAATACAAGAAAATGTAAGATATAGGCCCTTTAATACACAATTTCTTTTGTGTTATCAGAATCCCTTCAACCCAAATTAATTTGAAGTAACCCACAGGTTGTAAGTAGTAGTATGATATAGTTTTATGATTTATGATTTTAAGTTTGTGTTTAGTTTCCGAATGTCTTTTTTTCCCCAAGAACCATCTGTTTCAAACAGATCCTGTTTAAGAGGATTACAACGTTTTTGCAATTTAGCTAGCTAGTTATTAATTATACTCTACATTAAAAACTTTCCCATGATTACATTCACACGATACATTCCATTCCATTTAGTAATAATTTAGTGGATCATCTGTCACTTTTTGTACTTATTACGTCACAAAAAAAATGCGTTATTTTTTTCATGAACAAAAATGTTTTTTAAATTAAATTTGACATTTCTATCACAGTCTCATAAACCCCCTGCAATGCCACTACAAACCCCTGGTTGGGAAACCCTGGTCTAATAAAACTACAGGCAACTGTAATTTGTGTCAACTTTATTTAAAGTTAAGCATTATGTGGGAGACATGGAACAAACAACGTATAATCTTACAAATAAAATCTCTTCTTTTAAATAAAGGGGATGTATAATTAATCTCCCGAGGTCAATATCCTAAACCGATTTTCATACATCGTTGAGAGAATTAATAATTTAGTTGCAATACCATCCTACATTCAAATAATATTCGTACTACAGTATTTTTGAACGTAGGCATGTCGAGCATGGACAACAGAAAATGCAAAGTGCAATACAAAAAAAAAAAAGAAGTGAAGAGCATAAAAGTTACAACAGGTGGGATTTAAGGAGAGGAGAGACATGCAAGCAACTAAGTCAAGTAAGTCTTCCAAACTAAGTATATGGAAACCACGAGATTTCTTTGCATGCAAGTAAAAACATACTAGGAATGGGCAATATGACGATATTTAGACTACTGTTTTCGCCATATCGCCCACCTCTAATACACAATAGCACAATCATAAACTACATCCTGGATTCTGCAGGATTTTTGTTTTAGGGTTTAGTTTGTTCATTCAAAAACATATATAACCATATGCAAATGTTTTAACACCCTGGGTCAAATTATATGTGTTGATTTTCTAACTGCAAATAACACATCTGACATTTTTCTACAAATTTTAGTACATGATTTCTGTTTATTTGAATTTAACATACTGGAAAAAAATAAAACATAAAATATAAAATGTGCCATAACTTCTGCAGAGGCCACATTTTATGTTTTATCTTTCCTCCCCAATACATTAAAGACAGCAAATAAACAGTAATTGTGCATTAAATGTGTAGAAGTGTGTCCTCTGCAGAGGATTTGTTCTTATTTTCAAATATGTAATCTGTCCAGGGGCGGCAAAACTTTTGCATACAGCTGTTTATAACCCATCCCGAATAGCTTTTCCTGCTGTTTGCAAAATTGCTTTTTCCACCCAAGAAAGACCAGATACAGAGAAATTCTTAAAAAAAATGCTACATATTGGTCAATTTTCTTAAACATAGATGTTAAAAGCAAAAGATGACCAAGCCAGCTTTAATATTGATGTGAAGTTTTTAAATTATATCACCATTTTCAGTTAAATGAAAAAGTATCACTTGTCTGCATGTTGTACCTTTAATTAAGTTTATGAGTTGTAAAACAGCTGAAAGGAAAAAAAAAAACTTGCTGTTGACATACTGGAGTAATTACCCAGATCATTAACAAGCTGGATCTCTTTAGATTTAGGAAGGATTCCAGAAATGGAGCAGCAATCTACAATGGACATGGTGGACGCAATCCTGGAAGAGCTCCAACTTAGAGATTCGTCAGATAGTACAGAAATATACTACATAATGCTTTTAAGTATAGGACCAGGAATTTTTAAAATTACTCTTAAATTCTCCATTCTGATGGCTTTCTCCTCTTTCTCACTGGGCATAAACCAGCTTTAAGAAACTAGCTCCTACAGCATAAAGCAGCAGTTAAAATGAGGTCTAAAGTCATGTGGAAATTACATGGTTGTTGCAGCCCCTCACTAGCAGCAAAAAGCACACAGGCCACTCCTTTGAAGAAACTATAGTGATTTGGGTTCAGTGCACAATCCAGAATAACGTTTCTGTAAAAGTCACAGTTTCCTAATAAAGCCTTACACACTTTACACAAACAGTGTACCAACAATTATTTCAGGTCAACATCAACAACTCCTGCTATGTGTTATCATGAGACGCCCCCTGCAGGGCAGTCTAGACCAGCTGTTTTGTAGGCAGGAGTGAACACGGCCTTGCTTGTATGAGCCACTTCCAGCCCATTCATTTCTGAGGAGTGATGGAGTCCAGATCAGGCCAGGCTGGAACATTGTGCCTGAGAAGGGTGCCCTCCATCAGCCTCTCCATCCACAGGCTGAGTCGGTCCAGTTTGTGATGGATCTGCAGAGTGGATGCTCGTTGTCGGGAGCTGCTCCTGGACCTCACCCGAGAAGCTCCACCATCCTCGTCAGACGACCTGCTGCAGTCCGGCTCGTCGCCCGTGAACACAGGCCTGAAGAGGCAGAAGTATTTCTTATGGCCGTTTAGTGCCAGCACGTAGCCAGTGTAGTCTCGTTTACAGGAGGACGCGCCCTCTTCTTCCTCATCGTCCGAAGGTCTAGCATCGGGCACCAACTCTAAGAGAGTGTCCATCCACTGGATGTGCTTGTCCACATTCAAGAAAGAGTAGTGAAGAGTCTGAGATCTAGGAGAAGCAGAAATATTTTATGAATACAGTGCTATCGGATTTTACAGGCTTTAAGTGTACTTGGTCTGTAGCAATGAATATCTGGCGCGATTTTAACCAAAAAGTTTACACTCTAATCAATCAGATTCTATATATTAACAAAAACGTTATTTGGTTTGTAATAATAGTAAAACCCATTTTGGTCATATATAAAAACTTTTTTCCTTTCAAAAACATATAGAGCAGGTTCTCCATCATGGAAAAGAACAAATTAACCATGCAAAGAACATGCAAGCATTCAAACGGTTCCTGTGAGTTGTCATGGTTCCTTATATAACCATTGCCTTTACTAAAGAATCCTTGAAAAAAAAAAAAAAACCTTGTTAAAGGTACAGAGTTATAATAAATACTGCAACTAACCAACTGTGATCAATTAATCTATCAACTACGACCGTCTGTGCCACAAGGAAGTTCTTTGTTTATGGTGCAAAGACACAACAAAAGCCATATCGCCCTCAATGCTTCCTGCAGTCACTGACGACTAAGCGACTATTAGCTAATTACTTCCGTCCTAGTTATTTTTAAAATTTGTAGTTTGCTATTTAAACATAAGTATATAAGTTCCATAAATAATTTGATAATTATATAATAAAGTACATACAGTAAATGTGTTAAAACATTTAATTTAGCCTTTATTTTGTTCACCCAAACCATCTATTTTTGCTGTCTTAAGTGAATGCACTGTATCACTAGCAGTGCAATTAGTTTGGGAATTTACAGCCAAATCAAACCTTTTCTTGCCATTTTACCTGTTTTAATGTTTGGAGTCATACACTTGAGGTAGTACAGCACATACTGACTTGCTTTGCGCCACAGAGAACACAAGCAAAAGCTTCTTTGAGTGCCTCTATACTTAAAAACTGCAAAAACTCCTTTAATGCAGAATATGCTAGCATTTTTACAGACATGGTAATTCACTCAGGATTAATATAACAACATTATTTCTATGGTTTATTTTAGATCAGGTAAAAGGCGATGTCTTTACTGATGTGGCAGCACGTAGTCTGTAAAAATAATTCACAAGGCAGATTTGGACAGGACTTAAATCACAGAGAAACACTGGTATAAATGATCTCACCCTGTCCAAAAAGAGCTTTACTTCTAACATTTAAATAAGCTAGGTGGGAAAAATAATTCACATAAAATTACAACAATCTTTTGTTGTCGATGTCAATAACTGTGGGCCAAGCCAAGCACAATTAAGCAAAAAAAGACAAGAACAAGAAGAGCACACACACAAACCAACAAAGAAAACTGCCTGCCCTCACCCTGAGAAAGAGTACACTTCTTTGGCAAACTTCTTCAGCAGAACTTGTTTGGAAGCATCAGTGAGCACCAGCACCACGTTGATGTGTCCAGGTCTCAACCTCACCAGGTTGCTGGTGTAAGTCACATCAGTCAGCTCCGTCACCTCTACAAAGTTCTTCTTAGGAGGACGGCTAGAGAAAAAAAACAAAAATTAATGCTATTTGTGGTAGGATTGTCACAAGTTGTAAGGATTTGCTTAGGAAACCCTCAAAAGGGAAATTGTTCCAATGGAAATGTTTCTTTTTTACTTTCACTGTAAAGGATAGACTGACGAATCTATCATACCTTGTTGTGTTTTCAGCATTTGGAGAGCTCTCAGCTGTCTTTGGTGATTCATTGGCTTTCTGCTTGGGTGGCTTTTCCTCACCAGAGTCACTGCAAATTGGTCCAGCAGTTAGAGCGGAATCAAAGCTAAACTGTAACACCAAAACAAGTACAAAGCCAAACTCGATGAACCACACCTTTAATGAAATCCCCAACAGTTTCCAAGTCCTACCTAAAAGCCTGAATGATGACTGTTCCAAACAGAATGAAGAGAGCAGAGAAGATCAGAGACACAATGGGCATCATCTCTCGCCTGGGGGAGACAGAGACTTTTCTGAGTTTTGAGGTGTTTCAGAAGGTTATTGAAAAATACAAGAAAAAAGCATGCACACAAGATTTACTGTTTTTATTTAAACTGAAGACCGGATGCTTTCTGTTAAAAAGTTTAATTTCCGATAAACAGCTGATACTTGAATACGTGGGTTTTTCCATTCAGCTTGAGGACCGTTTCTTAATTGTATGTATGAGGACACGAGCGCAGCTTGTTCCAGAAACCTTACTTTCTGATGATGCTCAACTCTGGATTTTCAACTGTCAACTCTCACTTTTGACTCCTGCCAAATCCAGAGCCGTTGATAAAGGGATTAAACCATTCTAAATGTAGTTTACAACCTACTGCAACTAAGAGATTTAGTCCCATGATTCAGTGGTAAAGGCTCATATGATGGAAAATAATTTTTTTATTAACAGAGATTGAATTAACATGTAAACAATATTTCAAAACCTGCCATGTACTACCCAGAGTATACAGTCAATATATAGAAACTAAAAAACAGCTGAATTCACTGTTTCTGAAGAACTTTGCCAAAATTCATATCCCAATGACGGCTGTCTTAGCTCAACTGTATTTAATCTGATGAAGATCCTTTTCGAATGTTTCAGGTTTCATAATATATCATACAACAACAAAAGTTGTTACAGTGTACAGTATTATGAAGATACATTCAGGTCCATAATTTACTGTTTAAAGTAAATGTCAGTTACTGTTTGAGAACATAAGCAGCTACAGGTGAAACACAGTGGTTCCTCTCACACTTACCAGTTGGAGTGGAGAAGGTCAAAGTACATTTGAGAGAGATAATCATAAGCGGCATTTGCCCACTGAATTAGAAACATCTATAATGAAGAAAATGAGGAAAATTACTGATTGGAAATCAAAAGTACAACTGTACTAGTACTGTACTTGCATTGGTGAACTCTGTGAAAGTCTGACTGCACAAGCAGAGTTTTCACCTTGTTCAATATTCACTCCCATTTTCAAAGTTAGCTATGAAACTGAAAAAACCATGTACAGAAGACAACACCAGTGATATATGGTTGAATGAGTGGGCTACATCCATTTCCATAGTTAGGTTACTAACCATTTCTATGGCAGTGTTAGTTTTTGATGATTTGATGAGAGGATAATCCATGTAAGCACTGCCTTCATAGCACCGTCTACTTCTGAAACTAAATCTACATCCCTGTCTGACTGACTCAGGTATGTGGACACTCACAGAAGCGAACTCATTGTTAAGTTCAGGCAGCATGGCATCGTAGGTGAGGAATGAGGGATCTCTCTGCAAGAGCTCCAGCTGCTCATGAAGGCGGTGCTTATCCTCATCACTTCCATTCCAGCCACCTGTCACTGTCCGATACAGCACCTTACCTGCAGCACTCCGCCTCTCCAGAATTATCACCTACAGAAGGATGCGTACAAAGAAAAACAGAAAGAGGGAGAGAGCAGTACCGTAGATATTACAATTGATTCTCTTTCAAATTAAAAAGGAAGCAGAAAGCATTTCACAACATGAGGGTTAAATCTGCTTTTGAGTACTTTTGCTCTGACCTGGGGAGGACTCATGTCCTCCTTTTTGAGAAGGGTATCACAGAGAGGCTGCTGCTGCCGCTGATAGACATAAGCGAATCTCAGCACCTCTTTAGTGTTGGAGGAGGCAAAGTCAAAGAAAGCATCGTTCACTGAGACAAAAGCCTCATCCTCCCCCGTGATGAGCAAGACACAGTACCTGAAAGGATGAAAGGACATGTATATCTGGCACTTTTTAAAAAAAGTAGTAGTTCTAAGTAAGGATTTGAGAGTTCTCTGCAAGACCTATTCTTAAAAAAGTCATTATTTAGAAAAAAAAAAAAAAGAAGTCATTATTCTTAAAAAAAAGTCATTATTTAGAAACCTACATGCATCAGCTAGGCTAAAACAATTGCAGAAACAGAAAAAGAAGGTTTAGCAGAGGGTAAACTTCTTAAGCATTACAAACTGTGGATTTGTTTATGTCTAAAACCAGGAAAACCCAATGTGGAAAGAGAGAGATGAGTAGGTTTCTTACTTTCGGCGCCGGTGGAACTGTTTCACTGGACACAACTCATCAAAGAGCTTCTGGTTTACCAGCCGAGGCACCAGCAGGAAACGGTTGTTGGAGACAAACTCATCAATGATCTGCTTCTTCATTCCCCTAAACTGTGGGACAGAACAAAATAAGCTACTTGAAAGCCCTGGAGAATAAAGGGATATGCTCATACACACTACTGTTCAAAACGTTGGAATCACCGTTCAATGGTCTGGCTTGTTTTGTACATTTTTCTTGGATTTTATTTTCTTCCCTGAGGCCCATTTTTATTTGTGTAGGTTTATGCACAAAAAACATCAAAATTAATTTTTGCTCTGTTGCTCTAAAGGCTTAATCGTCATGAAGAAGCAACTCCTCCTTTTAAACTTTCCAGTGAATGTGTAGAAAAACCCCTGCTTCACTTGGTGCTGCATTGCTGATACACACGAGGAGAGGTAGTTGCTAGGATACGGACTAAAACAGCCAGAGCTGAAAGTCAAACAAAACGTACAGTTTCAATCTTCTTTTGCACAAGCGCTGCATCATATAACCATGAACATGCTGCACCAGTCATTATATTACAGAGCTAATTTCTGCTAGCGGGAATATTAGATTTTCTGTTGTATATCAGTATCAAGCTAACAGCGATGGAGCTTTTCTTCTACACTGGGTTCAATATCACTCGAGCCCACACACAAACGTTTGACAAACAAAGCCTGTAACAGACATTCAGTATAGTTAATCAATTAGTAAATACTTCAAGCTAAAAGCTTCACTTAGAATGCTACTGAATTCATCTGCCATTAGCAGTCTGCTGAACTGCTTGTTAAGTAAAACCATGTTCTGAAGTAAGCCTTTTGTGGCTTTTACTTCAAACACGCACATATACGACTTCTTCACCTTTTTGATGGAGAAAAAGTTCTCTGTCTGCTACTCTTTCGGCTCTGCTGTGGCGGTTTTGACTGTTTACAAGCTCCGCTCAGAAGAGAGAATTCATCAACTCATCAGAGCGCATTGGGAGCTTATGAAAACAGAGCTCCTCTGTTTCTGAAAAAACCTCCAGTGAAACTTCAGCTTGTTTGACTAAATTGCAGTGATGGTATTTCAAAGTGCCCACGATAATATTACTGGGCGCATTGCATATTGTGGTATGCTGAATACCGTCATAAGTCTAGTCATAAATTTTGATTAAAAGGGGACAAAACCCCCTTGCTGCAATCTTTCTGACAGAAGACCGTGTACACCAGCATTTCACAAATCCAATCCTTCATAAAATGAGTTAGTTGACACTGGGCAGTAGGTGTTACCTGTATGACATCTGCAGGTTTCTCTGTGTTCTCCTTAAACAGGAGCATGGTAGGAGCGTATGTGTTGATGTTGAACTGCTGCAGGATGCGTGTCGTCTCAGTCAGGCCCTGGTCTACGTACCCAAACCTCACAAAATCCCGATAAGCAAACGCTGTGAGCTACAAGCAGAAGAGCAAACCAGGACAATTTAATACCCAGAAATCAGTCACATGTGCATATCTGAACTTATAATATTTGAGTCAGTGCATTTTACAGCATGAAAATAACCTCTTACCTTATACAGTAAAGGCACTGTAGGCACTGTGTCAAATAGCAGCACGCTTGGTTTGTTCTCTTCACGCCAACCGTTCAAAAACTGCAAGTAGTTATCATCTGTCACCTTGGGAAAAAGTTCAGAACATTTTTTAAATTGTAAAAATAAAAGGCATTGTTATTATGACCAAAAGTTCTTAGCATTGTTCCACACTTACATGCTAACACAAACTGCCACAATAAGAGCAATTTATCACTACTCTCCAGCACTGGGATCCATCACCTTCTAAAGCGATGGAGTAGCATCCAGTACAGTTTGAATAAGCTGAAGAGACATTTGTGATCCAGAACTGATCATCCTACATCAGTATCTGACCTCACTAAAGCTCTTATGGCTGAATGCAATCTAATTGTCACAGCAATGTTTCAACATGTAATGTGTAAAGTCTTCCAAGAAGAAAAGAGGCTGTTAGGGCAGCAAAGGGGGACAAACCTCCTATTCAGATATCAGGAAATACAGGATAAGCAGATGTTTATATACTTTGACATACAGTGAACTTTGGATAAAGATCTAACCTTCTCCACTAGTCTCTGTGGTAGTAGGCTTTCTATAAACTGCCTCAGGTACTCCCTGGATATAGCATAATGGAAGAAGGTCACTTTGCCATTAATGAGCCCCAGAATAGAGGGGGTGCGGTGGGCGCCAAGATGGTTCGCCAGCCGCTTTTCATATCCAATGTCCACTATACCAATGCCCACACCTAAAACCAAGACAAAAACAGATGTTAAAAGTACACGCACAAACGTCAGAAGTTTGTGAAAATAATAAAAGAGCATCTTCAGTTTTTCTTTTTATAAAACTATTCTTTAAATTATACTGAACAATAGGGCTGTTAATTGAGAAAAAAGTCATAAATACTGCAACACTTGGATAAAGAAAAAGTGAGTCCGAATTTACCTAGATGAAGAGCTAATTCTCTGACTTAGAATCGGAGGCACTGACCACATGTACACAGTGTCATATCTACTATGCGTGAAGCTGGCCATCAGTATTTTGTGAGATGCATTACGATTGGTTATATGCATGACCATGTGTACACACTTTCTCGCACCAGTTTTTCTTGTCTGATGGGAAACCAGCTTTTGCAAGCAGTTATCAAGTTTTCTTTGAAAAATTTAACAGCTATTAAAGGAGACAGGATGTAGCCCTTTTTTAAATGTCATCCGTCCCTTCACGGCCCATAAAAATAAGAGTTTGTGGTTGGTTATTTTGCATGTCAGTCAGATGTCCCTTTACTGTCAAAGCAGGCAGTTCTTGGGAATAGGGAGCAATAAAGGCTCTTGACAATGGACAGACATCTGGCTTATGAGACTACTCTAGCAGCGGTAAAGGGGGTATGTTTAGAAGACTCAATAACATGTGTAGGGCTGCATGATATGGCAAAATACTAGAGATGGACGATGATATCTAAATCAAATCAGTATATCTGCTTTAAAAAAACAGATCAGCATCAGATAGATATTTAGATTTGACCAATATTTCAAACGTATACCTACATATATATGACATTTTTACACTCCATAAGAGAAGAACGTTTAGGCAGTGCTACTGTGTACTAAAATGAAAGGAGGCAGCAGTACTGGAACTGTGGGCCAATGCAAATATCCAACATTTTTCATGTACATATCTGCTCATGCAGACACAAACATTTTTTAAAAACACAGGAATTGGAACTACATCTGCCTGGATTCGCCTTACGAAGAAAACTGACATTTATAAGTAGAGGGTTGCAAATGCATGTCAACATTTTAGCAGCATTGACTCAACATTCCACTCTTCCAGAGTACAATAAATACATGATTAAATATTGGTTTGAAGTATCAGTGAAACTTACTATTATTGCATCTGTAATTCTACAAGAATAAATGTTACATTTCTTTGTAATGCTAATTTAGGTAGACGTAGTCCTAATTTCTACATTTTATAAGTGTTTGTGTATAGGTGTTGCCAGATTACATGAAAAAAAAAAAACAACAGATATTGGCATCAGCCCAAGATTCCCATATGAGTGCATACAAAATATCCTATGGCAATTATTTTACTACAAATTGCAACTATGATATACCATCTAATATATTCAAAACACATCAGTTTATGTGATGTGTTAAGGTTTGGCTGGCATTATTTTTGACCAAAATTATTTGTTTGTGGGATCATATGAATTCTTTGACTCATTCAAACACCCGAAGAACATCTATGACTATTCAGCATTCTCAAAGTAAATGATAAATCATTGTGCAAATGGTCAGGCTGATAGCCCAATAATGATTACGGAACAATATATTGTGTCCCAACTGAAAAGCAAACTACAAAAAGTTTTTTAAAGCATTGTGCTGATGTTGCTCTTCAGATAGTTTCATTAAATATGTTTTAAAGCACATACCTAAAGCCTCCAGCTCCTGAATTGTTTCTTTCCATATTGGCTCAATATGGATGCAGGTGAAACACCACTCTGATGTTATCTTTATTAGGTAGGGCCTCTTGAAGCTATCCGGCACCACCTCGTTCATGTAATGCTCATAGCGAAGAAGGTGCTTGCTGTCTGTGAAATCTCGTGTCGACTGTGTGAAATGAAAGAAGGACTGGTCGAAGTAAAAGCTGTCATGGAAGTGCCGGAAGCCCTGTGGTGCCTGACCGTGGTGCTGGTTCTCGTCTGTCTGACCAAACCAGTCATAGTTTGCTCTCCGCTCCTCATTTGACAGAATCTGCAGAAAACAAGGAAGATTAAATGTATATACAAGCGTCAGAGAAAGAGAGTGGACATTCTAATCCTTTAGATGTATCAGTTTTGTTTAATATTCTAGGATTTTAACTTAATAGTACTATTTATAGAGTGTCTTCCTCAAACTCAAGGACAAGGTCATTGTTCTCAAAAGAAGTAACTTACGGGCCTCTGTGGTGTCCTAAAATATTTATTTGGCCAAATATTATGCCAAGGATCTTCAGATAACATGTCTGTATGGCAACTTACCTCATATGATTTAGTAATCTTGATAAACATATCTTCTGCACCTGGATCTTTATTCTTGTCTGGATGCCTACAATAAAGCATAATGCATTTAACATGCTAATGGGAAAATACTCCTGGGCTACACATTCTGATCGTGAACTGCAAATTGGTACCTTTGCTCATCAAAAGGATCAGAATTAAATACAAATTAAAATTTGCACCATCCTAGCATCATTACTTACCACTCCCTGGCAAGCTGCTTGTACGCCTTCTTGATTTCAGCTTGACTGGCGTGTCTAGACACTCCAAGGACTGTATAAGGGTTGAATTCAGAAGCTGCTGCTGCATTATCTAACAGTACCAGAAGAGCAGACAGCCAGAATAACCGCTTTAAGAACGGCTTCGGGTCAGCTCCCATCTTCTCAGACTTGGGCAGGGAAGCTATGGAAAGAACAGAAACCAAAACTCTCACCTCAGTCATCTGATCTAATGCAGAACAGGACTAACTAGGGTAAAGTGTAATGAAACTGAAAGCTCTTTTTGAGGTTCTAAACACGACATAAATGACATCTCATTAAACCAAAAAAGAGAGAAGCCAGGACTGACAATGACAGTCACTGAGGGTTCAAACATTAACTTAGTTTTTTAAAATGTCAGTCAGGCAGCTCTAAAACCAGCTTCTCTGACACATTTTTCAGGATGACAGGGCTTGCAGAGCTGCAGTCCCCTCTCTATAAAAAGCGTGTTAGCTTATTAAACAGCCAAAATGACTGAACTGCCCATCATTTCATGCTACAGTCATATTTAGCAGCTAGCTGTTCTAGCGAGCGTTACGTGAAACGACAAAACCGAACTCGAACAAGACACACCCTAACACAACAGGCATAACTCAAAATCTGAATAAATACGACAAATTATTTAAACTGGAGAACAAATTTGACAAAGTGCCTACGGCTGGCAACTGCCCGGGAAGGTAGCTAACTAGGTAGGTAGCTAGCCTAGGTAGCCTAGCCGGCAAGAGACGGTTAACTTTAGCCGGCAAGCTTAGCATGATAGACTTGGATGCTTTGGCCAAACAGGACTGAAATGACGGACACGACACAGCAGCAAACGCTCTGAAGACGACAAACTGAAAGGAGGATACTGTCAGAACCTTAATTCGAGCTCTTTGCATAATCGTAAACAGTCAAATTTCAGCCGTGAAGCTTCCAGGTCAGACCCACAGAGGGCCCCGATGCTCTCCGGCAGTTTTCCTTATGTTTCCCTGAGGGAGGGGAATGGAGGAAATCCACACTTCACGATAAAAGCCCCACGGACACTCAGAAAACAACAAAAACACACCAGTCTAATTAAATCACGCTCTGCCTTTAACACAAGTGCATTCACTGCCATATAGGCAATTTAGGGGCCAGAATAGCTCGACACTGATTTGAATAAATTAATTGCTAATAAAATAACATTCCTGCAGGGGCGTAGCCAAGGGGTGGCCAGAGTGGCCTGTTTCATTCTGACGTCTCATGACGTTTTTATATCAGTATTTAAATCAGTCAATCTTTATTTAAGTGTAGCCGAGCCTATACAGAAATCAGGGGCTGAAGACATAGGAGTAGTGAAAAAAATTAAATTGTAAAAACATAACAAATACTTTGATAAAAACATATCAAAATACATTAAAAATATATTAATAGAAATGAATTAAACAAACAAACAAACAAATAAATAAATATTAATATGTAACAGTGAAAAAATAGTCTGCCATCAGAGCAATTAGCAGTCAGTCATGATCTAAGGTAATCAGTGTATCTCACAGGAGAATGAACGCTGCACAAAACCTTAATGTTATTCTTGTTCATTTTGCTTTTGGAAGCAGTTAACATTAGTTTTCTACATTAAGAGAACATTTAAACTGCATTTACTCTACATCAGTCTATTACTGTATTTTTTGTTACACATTGTGGTTTATGTGAATTACTGTAACATTACTGTAACTGAGGGTTTTAACAGTGTTCTGCAGAGAGCAGAAATAGTACAGGAAACAAAACATACAATATATTTCCCATGTAACATTATAACCACACTACTAATTTGGCCTGTACTCTTCAGCAGAGCTGCTTTGTGAACTACATTATTTGAAGTAGGCTATATGACTGTAAGATAAGTTAACTCAAAAAATAAATTTATCATTTATCATATTACCTAAATACTGTTCACAGATGAGCACATGTGTGTGTTTGATGATGCAGGCTGGAATTCATCCACTCAGAGGTGAATCCAGTGGTGGGTTTCTGCTAAAGGTACAGTAGGTTAGCGTGTTACCCAGACAAATATTATGCTCATGATACTCATGATGTTACCTCACACCTTTTTGTCCCTAGCAGTCTGCCATCCAAATAAATCACTAGGTCTAACCTGGCCACCCCACTGAAAACCTTCTTAAACACCCCTGCCTGCTTGTCTCATATGAAAAGAAATACTAGTATATGACTATAGAACAATACAACTTGTATATTAAGTCCCCTTGTGTATGTCCTCCCCCTGATCAAATGACAGGGCCAGTTTTCATCTCAACAAATTTACTGACCAGCTATGCTCTAAATGTATGCATCATTATCCTGTACATGCTAAACTCATGCACAAATCACATGTATAGTATTACAGGAATATAATACGTATGCAAAAATGCTAAAGATCATTATTATGCAGTACTACAAGATCATATAGTACTACTATAAACCTTTGTCTATGGGATGAATGTATATTTTTAATAAATATTACTAAATTACTATTACTTAGTTAATATTAACTAAAAATATTTTAGTTATACTTTAACCGCAGTTCATTTATAGACAGTGTATATATTTATATACACTGTAGTATAGTGCTTTCACATAAACCACCAACTCTCCAACTACTTTATTACAATACCTGCCATGCTGCTGTAGTTAGAGGCTGTATAGCTCATGTGTTGATGCATAGCTTGTGTTAGCCATCCTCTATCCCTACATCAATGATCCGTTACTGAATCCTGAATTTTTTAATTTTTTTTTGAACTGTTGGCTGGATGGCAATCAAATCCTCACAGCAATGTTCCAACATCTAGTGTAAAGTCTTCCCGGAAGAGTAGAGACTATTACTGCAGCAAAAGGGGATAAACTCCTTATTAATGCCCTTGATCCCTTGATTTCTGAAGAAATCTTGCTTGAGCAGGTGTCTACAATCATTTGGACATATATTGAAGGTCCTAATGCTCATGTAATGGTCAATGAGGCAAAGTACAAGAAATGTGTTTGTAATACAGTGGAAGGTGAGTATATTTTGTAGATATATTGATAGAACCTATTCATGGACTGGAATTCAGGTGGCTGACTCTAAAATGTAACAGGTTCTCAAGAGGTCTTGAAACTAAAAGGTATAAAGATACACTTAATAACATTTCCCAGAATAAACTTTTACAGACATACTGGGTAAATGTGACTGTCACCCCCAAGTGGTCTAAGTATTGTCAAACAGATTAAAGTTGAATACCAAGGTGGTTTGATATGAAATGATACACTGTAGCGTAACATACTGACTTGGTTTTCTTTACAGTGGTGGTGATAGGAACCAGAGGTCACAATGTCTACAACACAAATATTGCCATTTTACGGTTCATCCAAAATTACCAGTGAACCTACATGACCTAATATCAAAACTACCAAAAAAACAATGTCTTGGGTGTCAGGCAGCATATTTGTTTCATTTCAGAACACTCTGAATGAATTTGTTTATATCTTAACCATTTAATTATGTAGAAAAATGCACCAAAAAAAAAAAAAAAAAATTAAGAATTGCCCTTTAATTTTCTTCTGAGTGCTGGTGCTCATTTAGAGTTTGGGTCCCAATGTTATACAGGCTATTTATACAGTGCTGTTGGCCCGACACCAAGACAACAAAAAACACCTACAAGCAAGAGAAAAGGCTACGACTAGGGAAGATGATAATAGACAGAAAAATGACAGAAAAAGACAAATCCAGACACTGGACAAAATTTCACTTTTAAAACAGCCCGTTTATTCATTTAGTTTTAAAAAATAAAAAATAAAAACTAAAAAGGACTATTTCATTGTCGCTATAAGAAACAGTACGGAAGCACTGAGAGTCTTTGAGCCTTTCTAGCTCTTCAAGTATGTTCATTCTGTTCACGATTTGGAGGGAGTGCCTCCATGAGAGCAGGCCAACAGGGGCACGGGACACGGGGCTAGAGATGAGGAGGCGAGGCGAGGCAGCCTGGGTTTTCCACAGGCCAAGAATGCTCCTATTCCGTGGCCCAGTCCGTTAAGGCCCAGCTAATCAAACTCAGGAACTCATGTGCACCAACATAACTCATCTGTTCCTTCATCCAGTGATGACTATGCAGAGGTCCTGTCAGCAGCAAAGGATCATAAAGAGGAGAAAGAAGACTGTGACGTAAAGAGCACACAAGCAGAAAGAAAGGCGGAAAAAATTGGAGAAATACAGACTGTGAGATGAGAAAGAGAGGAAAATATGGTTAAGGAAAGTAGAGACTAAAAGCACGGCGGACAGCTAATCTTAAAAGGGGGGGGGGTGAGTGGTGAGAGTGACCAAAGTTATGCTGATGAGGAGGATATATGTGCTGTTTGCATTCAAAACACTCTGATGTTATTTCCGCGTTGCAAAACCAGATCCCAGTTATTTGCATAAATGTATATTCTGACGATAATTACAAGGACATCAAGCAACACAACTTGCATCACTTTCAACAACAAAAGAAAAGAAAAGAAAAGAAAAGAAAAGAAAAGAAACTCAGCATTACAATATTTCCTGTTGCTGGAAAAAAGGTCTTCATCAAAATGTAAACAAATTCACTCCTTGGGTAAGGAAATAGCAAAAAAACCAAAAAAAAAAAACCAAAAAAAAAAAAGTCTGAGATCTCCCTTCATATCAGTCTCCATTGAGCCCCGTCCCTCTGAGCTCAGAGCAGCTGAGGCAGCGCACCAGTCTCTGCCCTCTTTGTTACACCCCGCTCTTCTGTCCCTTCATTATGTGAGCTCTTCCCCTGCAGGTCATCTTGGGTGCAGCAGGAAACGGTCCAGATACAGTGACAAGGCCTCCCAGTTCCGCCAGAGAAAGGCCAGGAGGATAACTAGGAGCAAGGTGGACAGAGTGCGGCTGCGCGTCTTCATCAGCGGGACCACGCAGTTTGCCACTGTGGAGACGAACACCAGCAGGACCGCCATGACGGCTAGAAGTACATTGATGAGTTTCCCAAGTAAAGTGCGTGCCGTGGCGTTCTCCAAACCTTCCAATTGGACCACCTGCTGCTGTTGCTGCTGCAACTCCATCTTAGATATACGTGTTTGGCAGGCCTCCAGTGCTTCCTACAGACAAGAAGGTACAAATACATTTAACATATATGAGGATAAAACAGCCTGACATAAAAACAAACCTTCTATTCAAACTTGCTTTTTTAGACACCATTTTAACATGATTTTTTTTTTTTTACCGTTTTCTTGTTTATCACTGTAAAAGGTTTACTGAGACAGCTAAAAAGCCATTTTTAGGGGCTGCCACATTAAGACTGGCAAATGGAATGTCTGTGCAAATGTTTTATGTATCTAGATACTAAGCGTGGGCATTACAGCAAAAATATAACATCACAACACTTAAAGCTACTCTATGTATGATTTGGGGATTTGGCAACCTCTCTGGTGGAAATGTATAATTGTAAGCTACATGCAGAAGCACATTTTGTAACACTGAAGGACGTGTCTTCAGAGGATGCAAGTAAATAACCTACCATTGTTATCATATCTATCAGTATAATGTTAATTTTGCAATTGAGACCTAAACACTGTGCCAGACCGTCTTTGACACTTTGCATGTGACACTAATACACAAAGACGTATGATATGGTCTGAAAAACTCCCACCAAATCTGACCCGACAACTCTGACTTTTAATTATTATTTTAGGCTTTACAAGATGACTCGCATAAGTACACACACACACCATATTTTAGCATGTTTTTTCCCCCCTTGTGACTTCCTTTAAAGCTGTGCTATATAAGATTTGAAGACATTTTTACATTACACAATACATGTCACAACATTCAGTTTTTCTGAGGTTTGAAAACCACAATGACTTTTGTTTAAGCTTTCACACACTGCACTGAATGTAATTCAGTTAAACAGGACTACTTATGCTCTTTTTGTCCATTCCTACTAGATAGTGATACAGGATTGAAGGAAACACCTCAATACAGAGAGTTAAGTACCTGTATGTCTCTGGCTCGTTCGTAAGACTGGTATGCGATTTTTTCCTCCATGCTGGCCAACTCCTGCTTCAAATTTAAAATTTCATTCTGGTGAAGTTCTGTAAGATCATTCAACTGCTCCTCTAGACGTTCACACCTGTCAATGCACAAATGCAAACTGGTAAACACAAGCTTTGAATGTGGAAGTGATGTGTCTTAATTTGAAAAGGGCCATTTTCCTATATTCTTCTTGAATTTTATTTTTTTTTAATTTATTTTTTTTTCCACTTATAACCAGGCAGACTTAGTGATTCTGGGGCTCTAGACAAAAGACCGGAATGGGAGCCTATTGGATGCACATTTTCAAATTAGTTGAGACCCTGGGCTCCTGAACAACGCATACATCTGCACTGCAAAAAATGTCCTAAAATAATCAAATAATCTTAAATATTATTTAACTACTTTTTCACTGGTTTTAAGTAATTTTATTAAGTTAAATTTTCACTATATTGGCAGATAATTCTGCTTGTTTTAAAAAAATATCCTATATCTGCCAAAAAAAGTTATATAATTTGGTACAGAGTAATGCAGAAATTAAGCAATCTCACTACTCAATCCTATTTCCAAGAAGTAATCAGTGATTCCATTACGGTTTGAGAGAACTACCTAGTAATTAGTAACAGATTACTTTGAGTTACTTTAACTGTAGCTACCCACACTAACGTTAACACTAGCATTATGTACAGTATTGTGTTCTGACTGAAAAAATGAAGTTCACTCTGGGAGTGAAGTGACAAACTTTTTGCTTTCCTCCCTCTTTTTTTGTTTTTCTGCTGCACTTGGATTACTTTATTTGATTTTCCTTCTCAACACTTAAAACTTCCTCTATATGATGCATATTGACGGTTAACTGCCTTTTTCATACCAGTCTGCCTTTATGCAGTTGTGTCATCATGTAACAATGCAGAATAGACCACAATAATCATGACTGATGGTTGGGGCTGCATTGAAACTGCTGAAATCAATCGCATCAAACAGATATTCTATGTATTTTAGAATAGGTTATTTAATATCAACATTTACAGAATATCCATTTATATGTTCATAGAGCCCTTGGCTCATGGGGCCCTAAGAAGCTGCCTACTTTTGTTTAGTGCAAAGACCACCCCTGCTTATAACATACATGTGGTTTTATGAACTAACAAGATATAATTAATTTATACAAGAGCATTTTCCAACATCTCTTTATCCCCTAGAATTAAACAGGGTGTTTTTGTCGCTGTGCTTTTAAGGCTGATATATGAGCTCTCTTCTGATTTGCTGCCCTGTATTGTGCTTCTTTTAAAAAGCAGTCTGGGCTAATTCACTTCCTGTAACTTCAGCATGAATTAGCAGGGCTTAACTGCTGTAGGTGGCTGGACAGGTGGGTATATGTAAATGCTGCTTAGTTGCAGCTTAGCTTAAATACAGAGATCGTATGGACAGGGGAGTGAATGGTATGTTGTTAACTTTATCAAATGTTTGCAAAGAATATCAAATTCTCCTGTTTCAAAACTCATTCATTCAAGAAAATTCTTTTTTTTTTAATGACAGGCTGTAGTACTAGCTTCTGTAGTAGCCAGGGTATGTTTGTGTATGTTAGTGTATGTTAAATTCAGATTCATAGCCTGCTTTTTATTTTATTTATACCCATATTCTTGTTTCTTTGTTTATGTGTGGCCAGATGAATGGATAATGTAAATTTAGATAAAGTTTAGACCTGCCAACCTGAACATAAAAGAAACTAAAGTTAATTCAAATTAAATATGTCTCTCAGCCCTCCCAAGTATGTGAGTGTTCCTAGGGGGTGTGTACCTGAATCGCTCTTCTTGCAGAGCCTGCATGATGAGGGTGTAGTCCCTCTGATAGTGGCTCTTCAGGCTATCAAATGACTCGTCCAATCTACTCTGGTTTTCTCTCAGCTCCTGAATCTCGTGAAACAGTGCATCGAAGCCTGAGCTTTGGCCAAGCTCCAGGGTGTTGCCTTTGGAGCTAGGGGGACCTCCTGGAGCCCCTGTGGTGCTGTTGGCCCCCCCTGAACCTGAAGTGGCACTGGAGCAGTCGTCTTCACTGCCATACTTGGGACTGGACTGCAACTGGCCAGGTGCCAGGGCTCTAGCTCCTGACGGCCCCGCCCCCGACATGGTCTCATCACCCTGAGTCTCATCCAGAGAGTCCTTCAAGGCTGAAATGTTGTCCGCGCTGCCAAACTTGTTGCGAATGAGAGAGGCAAACTCACGGGGTTTGGACACCACGGCACCCGCTGCTGAGTGAGTGGCCTGGGAGAAGCTGGAAAGGCCACCCGTCACCTGTAACAGAGAAGTGATGTTATAAAGCAAGGACTTTTATGACTTTCAGTAACTCATAAAACCATAACAACAACCTCAATAAAAATAATAAAAGAAAGCAATACTAACATGACATTGATGCAAACTGCATGCATAAATCATCTCAATTGCCTCAAGAGTTAAGTAATCTAACACGTAAATGTTTTCCGTTCCTGGCAATGTGTGACGTCTACAAAAACGTATCAAAGTACAACACATAGCTAAAATGACGGAGGAACCCATTTAAAGCCTGAAATGTATCTATTTTTTGTCCATAGCAGTATGTCATACAGTATCAAAAAAACACATAAGCAAGTCTATTTGACCTTAACAGCTCAGAGACAAGAAAAGAAGACAGTGGTAACATATCACACTGCATATCTTTGCTTAGTTGTTTATATCAGGTTTGCCAAGCCTTGTTCCTAGAGATCAACTACGCTGAGCTGACTTACAACAATTATCTACTGCCCTTTGCCCTAATAAGCTGCACCTGAAGACCTTGCTTAACTGGATCAGGTGCATCACAAAAGGGTTGTGACCAAAGTCTGCAGGGTGGTGGATCCACACAACATGGCTGGGCATGTCTAGGCTTCCTGAAGATTTATGAGTGTTACCTCATGACTTTCTGACCCTCAAATAATACAGCATCATTTACAATATATTTTTATATATGTCTGATGTGAAATGCTCTGCTGAGTCAAAATTGTTCACAGTGGTGCTGACAAGAATCAAACGTTTGAAGGGTTTAATGCTCTAAAAGCTACCTTACAGAACTTTTTCCATTCCTTTACACAAAATGGTTCCTAATACACTGCCTGATGCCCGAGACAAACTTTTACGATAATGTTTTTGCACAAAACATTTTTTAAAATACACTCACTCATACATGCAGCTTGTTGTGAGGAAACTTAATACCCAAAGAAAACTTTTTATCTTGAGATTTACTGCTGTTTTGCCATAATAAATAAAACGGCTTTATTTGTGTTGTAGACATTGGTTCCACCACTGTGTAAAAAATCCAAGTCCGTGAGTTTCTCTACAGTGAACCATTTCGCATCAAACCACTCTGAATGACTTTATGTACATCTCAATCTTTGAACTATGCAGTCATGTTGAAAGATTGGCAGATTTCTCATGTAAATGAATACATTCACACCACAACAACCCATAACTATATTTTACATAAAGTCAGTAGAAAGAGCTCTACCTTGGCCCCAACGTCCTTTAGCCCTTGGTGCATGTCCCGTAGTACATCTTTGGGCTGACGTGGTATCCCGTTGTGCTCCACCTCCCTAAGTTTGCGGTGATAGTGCTCCAGCTTCCTCTGCAGCTGCTGGATGGTCTGAGCTGATTTCTGGTTCTTCTTCTCAAACACCTGCTTGATGCGTGCGCTCTGCTGTTTGTCAGCATTGTTGGCCAGCTTCAGGTACTCAGCCACATTGTCGTCACGGGCAGTTTGCTCGATCTTGATCTGTTCAGTCAGCTTGAGGATCTTCTGCTGCAGCTGGGCGATGGCCTGCTTGGTACGTTGTGGGTCTGGGGTGCCGTCCACAGAGTCCACACCATACGGGCCACCGTCCGAGCTGCTGGACAGAGCGTTGGGTGATACAGCTGGGCCGGTCACCTCCAGACGATCCACCTGAAAGAAAGAACAAATAGAAAGAAAAACAGAAAGGTGGTGTTGAAGATCAAGATTAGAGTAGAATTGAGACAGAAGACAAAAGAAACAGAGATAAACCATCAGATTCAGTCAAAATTAAAACACAACTGCATGTATATCTTTTTGACACTAGCAATACCACAGTACATATAATTCTACACACAAAACAGCTTGCACATCGATTTTACCCCCCTAGCTCACTGTCATATAAAGTACCCTCTCTATTCTTCATTAGTAGAGTCATTCCAGCTCTCATACACCCTCACTAACTGAAAAACCACAGTAACTGACTGAGAAGTCACCATAAGTTTGAGCTCGCTCCCGTCACAAGCCATAATGGAGAACCCTGCAGCCGCCCTTTCATATACTGTATCTGTGGCCCTGCAGTTGTGGAGAGACTATTGACTGTTTGGACCTCTGCACTATGACAAGAGTCCTCAAATGCTCAGAGATAATGGCTGAAGCTCATATCACTGATAAAGAACTGGCATACTGCTCTACATCAAATCTGGAGGAGAAAGAAATCAGGAAATGCTCAGATCAAGCAATAATAAAACAGAACAGTAAAAATTATTAAATTCATTTGAAATATAAATTTTAAAAAGAGCTACTTACAAAATCATTAGGAAATAAATTGTGTGAAATGCTAAGGATAGACATGTTCTGCTTGAGTTGAACTATGACCATCCACACAGATGAACGCACACATGCAGAACAAAAAGATCCAACCCAGTTATCAGGAATATTGCCTTCATTAATCAAAAGATAAGACAGGAACACATCAGCCTTCCAGTAAATGAACCAATGTGCCAAAAGCACCAACTCGCTTTCTCCAAGTACACTGAGAAAAATCAATAAACCAAAGCTTTCATCAAAACAGAAGGCCTCTCTCTACTCTTACTTAGCTGAAGTCCAAGATAACACAGCCATATACTTCATGAAGGCATAAAAAGCAAATTATCCTCTGGACAGAAATCGAGAGGTAGATCTGATTATCTACTGAATGTAATGCTAGCCTGGGTTACAGTCGGTCAGAAGGAAACCGAGGGAAGGGAGGGAACCACTGACACAAAGAGTCTATTGCCTGGCCTACAAAAGCTTTCATAGTGCTACTGCAACCCTTCTGATTTGTCTTGAACCAACTACTGTGAGTATATATTACCACATTTATAATTAGATGCCACATAAATTGTTAGTATGCGGTTTGAGGTCATAAAACAGACTTCAATTCCAAGCTCTGTCTTGCCCTATGCAGAACAAGTGACTGGTGTTAAGGGACTTGTAAGGTAAAGTAACTGTCTAGTTTAGAATTTTGTTTGGATTTGATTTGCTATGCAGTTGATCAACAAGACCCAATTTGTAGTGAGATTAATGTAACAACAATAATAACAATAAGTATTGTGCACAGTGCACCAGTATATACTGTATACTGCATGCTACTCATCATCAGTAGTATACAGTACAGCATTCAGTATGCAATAAAAGCTGTGTACCATACTACAGAGCAGGGGTATGACTGCACTGCCAACATCAGCAACTAAGCCAATCAGACATGCAAGACCCACCCCTTTTTACTTTAGTCAACCCCAATCACTGCTTAGCAACCAGTGCTAACCGCTTTTCAGCTCTTTAGCAGAGCGCCTGGATATATTTTGGTCAAAACATGTGCCTGGGTGACTTCTAAAAGTCACGTGTGCTAAAAGTTGAGCAACTTCATCTATATCACACATTAACAGTCTGTAATCTGAGCTGGTTTGACTGACTAATAATAAGCAGTGTGACTCTACACGAGTGTGTGAAAAGCTAATGCTGTGCAGATGGTTCAGCTGAAACTAACTTTAGTAAGTAAATGTTTTAACCATGTTACCTATGCAATCGTTACCTTAAACGTTGCACTGTATACAGTAGCTTATTTTCTTTCTTTTTGCTGTCAATGACAAATCCATGCAAGGTTAAATTTCTGGCTTTTAAAAAAAGCTTGGGGCTAACCAGGCTGGTGATGTCCTTCTGAAATGTCAGTGGTTACGACCCTTTGAAATGACTGTACAAAACTTTGGTATATAGTACATCACAAAGCTAGCTCTGCCTACATGCTAAAATATTCGGCTAGAGTAGTCTTGGCATCTTTATCCAGATATTACTGTTATGAAGCAGACTGATATCTACACTTAAATTATTTTCATTAGTGAAGCTTTCCACCTACAACAACCTTTTTACCCTAGCAATAGTGACAGGTACAGTAATGACAGATAGGTCAATCTCAATAACTGTATAAATAAAAGACGGTGTATGATCCATCACAGTACTAAAAATAGCGATAGGACTACATTATATAGATTTCTATATACTAAATACAATATTTTTGACCGATTTACTGGCTGGAGGATTTGAACCCCCCTTTTGATAGAACAAAACCTTACACGGTTGTGCCACTGATCATAGATATAAATACATCTACTACTATATCACAGTAATTCAGGCCAAACTGGTAAACCTGAACACAATACATCATCATGGTAAGTATAACAAAGCATAAAAAGTTTAAATAAAATATATAAAAGGATCCAAACCTAACCTTCAGCATGAGATGAGAATAACCCAAAATACCTGTTATTATAAAACAGCAAAGTTTGAAACATAACAAGTAATTTTCAGAAACCTCACAGAATTCTACACAGAATTCTGGGTAGCCCCGCCCCACTTACTTATGTTCTTTAAGAATTTCTGTTATTTATTTGAGTTCATATCGGTCAGTGAATCACTGTTTAACTAAAACTACTGGACGACTAGTAAAAAATAACTTCTAAAAGATGAATATGTTGTTTTACCTGCCCACACTATCTGTTGTTGGAATTTTTAGCCCCTCAAAATGAGCATCAGCCACAAAATGCTCATATCAGGGGTGCCCTAGCACAGAGAACTGAATTACGAATACAAGGCCAGTAATTATTTGCTGTAGCAACCAATGTTATGTCATTTGACAATAAATCACTCATCACCTTAACAGTGTGATAGGACCCTGACCATATCTGCAGACGTTACGTGTACCCCTGACTCTGCACTTGTGTACCTATAAACAAGGTTTTCACACCCGGCTGATCCAGAGAGGCTTTTCGCCTTGACCCTGGTGCTGTTATCTCAGACCCCACAGTTCAGTTTGATTAGGCGAGTGTTAAAGCCTCTTAAAGAGCTGACTTGCAGGCTGATATGGGCTATTCCTCACCTCAAAAATACTTCTGCTGAGGATCCAGCTTGACGGTACAGCCACTGAGTGCTTGTGATAGGCAGCTGATTAATGAAACTTTAATTCATGTAGATACTTCGAAGGCTATATGCAGACTGCTAAAACCAAATCTGTGATATATATGTTAATTTGAAATAGCAAAGTGTAAACAAACAGTACAGAAAAAAATGCACTGACTACTGCGCCCCCCTACTCCAACGAGTTAGTGGCTCACATGTAGGCTCTGGAAAGACTGACAACACTTGAGCATGCCATTCCACTGGGTAAGAAGAAGCACAGACCTTCTGCATGACTACAGCAAGCCCTCGTAGATTCAGGTGAGTCAAATGACTCTGTCATATTACCAGACTCCTCAGTACGTCTGCTGAATATGCTTAGCTGGAGAAACTAGAGTACTGAAGCAACTACACCATGCATTTCATCCTGATTATTATCATGCTGTATAACAGCTTTGTTCATGTCTTTCAAAGATATACTGAAAGAAGAAGGGACATATTCTAGGCGGAGACATGACGGAGCTCTCTCTCAGCTATAGAAAGACCACTGTCAGCATGACAAAGACTCTACTTTTCATCTCCAGTGCACAATGAAGCGGCAACACCTGCTTTGTATGGGTAAACACATCCAAGGGCTAAATCCTTCAGGACAAAGAGAGCGTACAGGTAGCCAGATGCCACGTCCTGGTCCGAAAACAAAACGCGCAAGGCGTTGGTTTTTACTACTGCCTACATGAGTTCACTGACCCGGAGAGCTTCCAGAAAAAGCTAAATTTAGCAAGGCTTAGAGAACATAGTGACCCGCCACACAAGCTCCCTGACCTGCAAGCACTGTCATCCTGGCCCATCCATCCTGGAGTATAATCGGAATAATCAGAGCCTAAAGGCTTCTGTGAGAAGCTCATAGTAAAAAGAAGATTCAGGCAACCTGCTATGACGCACAAGGGCAGACACTCACAGGCACATCCAAAATCCACTAGTGCCACCACAATCTTCTATTTGATTCATGCCTCAAAAAAAAAAAAAAACACAACAACAACAACAACAACAACAACTGCACAAGCGACTGACTACAGAAAAGAGAACGCAGAGACATTACTGGCATAACACGAAGTAAATAGGGCGTGCTAAGAACGTGCTAACCTGCGCACACATTAAAACTTATATAACAAAGGCTACAGTTTCATGCAGAATAAAATAACTAGCAAGTGCATGACTAGCAAAACACAGGTATTCATACTAAGGCACAACTATTATTTGTGCTAATTACTATATTACTTGTATTACTTCCTGGGATTAAATCACCTTTTCTCTACAAATTAAATTTTTTTGAGAGGGACTGGTATATTCCTGTTCACGTTCTTAAATCTAAACCTAGAATAAGCCTTCTTGGAAGGCTGCCATTGAAAGACATCATTAAACCCATAATATGTTTATTTTAGACCAGGTGGAAAAGAAACACTTAACAAAAAGACACAAGATGTGATAAGTTCAGCTGCCTGTTCTCCTTTGCATATTTAAGCCAGTAGCTGTCAGCTCCAGTCCTGCAGATCTACAGCTGTGCAGTGTCTCATGTTTTCTCTGTTCTACAATAGCTGCTAAAAATTAACGAAATACTTAATAACTAGCCAATTAGCTGAATCTCATGGATTTGAACAGCAAAGTGCTTGGTTGTATTAGCCTACACATCTGTGCCTAGGCTAGCAGTCAAGATTGACTGACACCACAAGGATTCACAATAGTTGTATAATTTATTCACGTAATGCATGCTGGGTTTTGTAGTGAGAGAACACTGATGATGCAAACATGAAAACAGTACATAAAACTGTGAATTCTGTCAAACCAATGAGATTATACAATGCTGCTCTACAGAATACTGCATATCAACAAGTAACATATTAAAATTTTATACCGAAATGCCCTGTAAAGACAAATCCTATGCTCCATAAGGAATCGCTCCTGCGTTGAACCTGATCTATGCCTAGTAAAATGTCTCTAAAAGCTTTATCTGTAATTAAAGGACCTCACCTTGGGCACAGTAAACAAAGAAATCAATTCACAAGGGCCTTTTACTACTTACTCGGTCTGATTCCTCAGTGGAGTGGTACCCAGAGGTCAGCAGCATGTCGGCCAGTGCTGGGCTGCTGGGTGTGTCCGTGGTGGAGGACGAGCGCGGGCGTCCTGCTTGCAGCAAAGCCTCCTGGGTACTACGCCTGTGGATCTGGGGGCTGCCTTTCTGGGGGGCCTCCCCGCCCCCCCCTGCCTTGCTGCGGCGACTCTGCAGGCTGGTCCCTCTCTTCATCATGGGGGGGGCACCTCGGATCTGCTGCAGCACACGGCTCAGAGCTGCAGGGGGGGCGGAAGCGGGGGCGTCAGAGTCGGAGGTGGTGGCGCTGGGGGCGGACGCTTCCCCCAACTCTGGCCCCGCCTCCGCGGCCTCAGAGGCAGGGCCAACAGAGGAAGCGGCGGTGTCGTGCGGAGAGACGGACGAGCGCCGCCGCTGAGGCTGGAAGAGCTGCTTCAGGCCATGGCCCAGCACGCCCATGTTCTCCAAGGCATTGTGAGTAATTTTGGACAGGCCATGCTCGGGCTCTGAAGCCCTCCTGCCCACCTCCGGCTCCGCTCGACCCCCAGAGTCAGGTTCCTCTGCACCAGGTTGCTCACTACCACCCTGATCCATCAGGGGCGCCAGTCTCACTCAGAGGGTCAGTACGGGGGCGGGGTCTAACTAAGCCCCGCCTCCACTAGCCCTCTGACAGGCTGATTCAAAGCCAGGAAGCAGCAGGGAGGCTGGCGCTCAGGTGGACTCTGCGAGCGTGCATGCATCAGCGGATTGGCTCAAAGTCATGCTCGTCTACCACAGAAGGAAAATAAAATGGATTATGACATGCAGCTCTGAGTGATGAAACACAAGCAGCAACTACAGAAGAGCTCAAACTAAAACAAAAGCAGCAGTACGTCAGGTTGGCTTTGAGAGACAGGGGTGTGGCTTTTACCTAATCCTATTGTAAGGTGTCAGGTTCCTCAACTGATGTCATTAGGATATGACTCAATCCTGTAAGCAGAGTCTTAAGTCACAGAATAAACAAGCCAAACCTGTAGGTTTCTTAAAGCCAACCCACTATCACTACAATTACTACATTAACAACAACACACTCTACTAAGCAATCTACAGTTATGGGTGGTGAGGTGACAAAAGAACTGCAAAATAATTAAAGCAATGAGAATTTCTGAAATGTTCACAGGGTCTCTTTCTCAATTGTTTCAAGAGAAACACTGTCCTGCATACACACACATAATTTATCTATATGCATAATATTAGGGATGCACCGAAACCTCAACCACATAATTTTTTTCAGATAAAAATGAACAAATATGGCACTGTTGACAATGGCCAAAAGAGAAAAGCTGAAAATTTTAGATTAAATAGACCTACAAGAAAGCGTCAAAATTTTAGCCTTTCAAATAACTTAAATGAGAATCAAGAAGAGAAAAAGCGTTTCAAATTTCTTTCAAATTCCTTTCACTCGTTTGCGCCACTCAGCACAGAGTGATATATGTCCACATGGCCGATTTCACAGTTTCCATGAGATCAGCCATTTGTAATTACTGTTTACACCAGAAAAACTAAGCATGATAGTGGCTCAGTGGTGGCCACAGAACACGTTTTATCTCAGCTTCTACTCTAACACCAGTCATTCAACTTTGCACTCACAGTCTCTAAACAGGTGTCGTGAGTTAGCTGGAACCAAGCCTGTGCTCTGGTATGTGGCATGTTTGGCTTGCTAACTAAGCTATCGTCAGCTTAGCCAAAATGCTACAGTCCCAAACACCACAGAACAGGTTTGACGTCAGTTTTCTGTCACTCCAGACACAAGCCACTTGACTTTAGTTCTTTCAGAAATTCGTTTTTATCATCTACACCTCTTTCACACAGCACAGGTTAGTCAGAATTAAACCTGTACTGTGGTTTGTGGAACTATTTTGGTCTGTAGCCTTACAAAGCTAACATCAAATTAGCCGATCAGACTACAGACCCAAACACCATAGAACAGGTTTAATTACGCTCAACTTTACTCACTCAGATTTTAACCTTTATCATCTAAACTTGTGGCAGTAGTTTAGTTAAATGAACATGTTTGTGGTAAGCAG